CTTTGTAGATGGTATGAAGTTCTGAATGCTTGCTCAAACATGCTGAGCCATCCCAAACTCACATGAATACATGAAACAATAATAACCTGCTTATGGTGGCTTCCCTTTCCAAAGCAGGATGGCAGTGATGCAGGACAGGCTCATCTGAGCAAGCAAATAACCTCACAGCTTCATCACTAGAGCCAGAAACTCAGGCAAGTGGGCAGCACTGGAGACTGTGGCCTGGTCCCACTGAGTTCCTGGGAGCAATAAGCAAACAACCTTTCCAAACAGCTGTCCCCCCATCCCACCCCTGTGCCCTACACAAAGGGCAGCGGGAACAGAAAGCAAGCCAGAAGAACCCTGCCCAGAGGTTCAACCCAAAGATCCTGTGGAGAGAGCAGTGCTCCTTTCAAATGTAGAAGGTACTTACACAATAAATTGGTACTCTGTGCGTTTGGTATAAACCAAAATAGAAGTCTCGCACTCTTGTTCTCCAAAGACTAGAGCTATCATTTAATGTTTTAATTAAAAGTCTCCTCAAAGCTACTAATTTGATTTTATTTTGCTTTGGTTGTTCTGCAGCAAGTTTGACAAGACTGGCACTTTGCAGGCCTGTGTACACAGCACATGTAATTAAAGTCAACAGGAGTTATGAAGTCTTTAAAACTGAGCCAGAGTGGCTAAAGCCAGTAGCCCAAAATTAGAAGCAGTATTTTCTAAACCCAGGTCATGTTCCCTGTGTGTTTGTGTTAGAGCATCACCTAGGGGCTGCAACTGAGATTAGTACTGAATTATCCCTGACATTATAGGGGTACACACAGACTTGGATGCTTCGGCAGACATCGTCACAGAGACAACACTCAACCAAGCCCTAAACATTCTGATGAGAAAGCTCAACTGGTAGATTTATATGTATATACGCATATGCACAAGTAATTTATGCATTTTTTTACGCAAGAACCACTGAAAAACTGGAGAGCATAACCGTTGTAGAACACACTATGGATCATGGCCATAGGAATGCTACTGCTGTAAATTCCCCTACTCTAAAAAACATTAAATAAGCCATCCAGTTATTTCATGATCATCTGCAAACTGAGATCCATGAAAATTAAACCCATGTGTATGCTTAGTATAGTCTGGCACTCACATAGTTGCTGATTATAGGAATTCAATGTTTACAATTCACATTCTTTCCCACACTTTTTTTCTGAATTGAAGTAAAAAGTCATTTGGCCTTACCATAATATAATTTAGACTGTTGAGGGCAGGACTGCTCCTTTGTGAAAGAAGCAAAGTCCAAGCATGAGAGACCAATTCCAGCTTTAACCAAGAGATGATGGAAACACAAGAAGATACAGTCCAAATTCATCATCATGGCTTGACTTTGCGAATGAAGATTTGGGAAAGGTTTTACCCATGCTTACTACAAGCACGCTGATGACTAAAAAGGCCAATGTGGGATAGGCAAATCTGGTTGCAAAAAGCACAGTAAAGGGTCTCCTTGGGTGGTATAGGTGGGGCACAATTCTTTCTACATTGTCTTTTCTCCTCAAGACTAATTCTGCTCGTGTTCTCAAAGGAGACAACAGCGTTATGTGTGGTGTGTCCCCAACTCTCCCGATTGGAGGCCAAGGTGGACCACTGATAGTAGTCGATATGGCCAAGACTGAGGTATTGTTTCAGGGAGTCCTTATATCTCTTCTTTGGGGCACTTCTCTTGCAGCAGCCAGTGGCAAGTACATCGTAAAACACAATCTTAGGGAGGCGGTGATCCTTCATCCTAGATGTGCCCTGCCCAGCACAGCTGTGATTTCAGCAATATGGCCTCGATACTGGTGACCCCTGCCTGTTCAAGGACAGTAACATTTGGCACATAGTCAGTCCAATGGATGTTTAGAATTGTACGGAGGCAGCGTGGATGAAAGCATTCGAGGAGTCGCAGGTGATGGCTGTAGAGCCTTTGGAAAACTTCATAAAAGAGTCTGGTGCAATAAACACCTGAAGAAAAGTACAAAGATCAGTGTCTATAGAGCCATTGTACTGTCTACTCTTTTATATGGGTCTGAATCATGGGTCATCTACCGCCATCACCTGCGACTCCTCAAACAGTCCAAATGAAAGACATAGGAAGGAGCTGGAAATAAAAAATGATCCTCAACATTTCTAAAGCCCTTTGAGATAACCTTGACTTGGACTAATCTTTAGAATATGAAGGAACTTGGTGAATTTTGCTGAGCAGCTGTCCAGAGTGAACAGAGAGTGAAAAACACACTATGGAAGACTCATGCAGGATCTGCTCTTCATGATGTTCTAGAGATGCATAGCAAACTGTACATTGCCAAATGCAACAACATGTCTGTAATCCTCCAGAAAACAGGAGAAAACCCCAAGTACTTCTGCCAGACCTGACTGGGGTTCTAGAGCCATCCTGGTGGTTTATACATACAACTCTCATGTACAGGAAGGTTACTGGCCTGATTGGTGCCATGACGTAAACCAATTAAAAAAGATAACAAAGAAAAGCCCTTCTCAGCATGACAAAGTTCCAGTATTCAAGGCCTGTAGAGAGAAGGAACTGAGGAAGAAAGAGAAAGCCATGCTTCTATACACAGTAGACATCAGGCTAGTGCCAACAGCAGAGAAGCAATCAACAGCTCACAACAGGTTTTGGATATAAAACAACTGGAAACTGCTGATGTGGAAACTGTGGCAGCAGTGGAAGCCAAAGCAATACTCAATACTCAATGACACCTTTACACTGGCAGAAGTTTACTTGCCAATAGCCAGTCTTGCTGTTCTTCTATAGGAAGCCTCATTTCTTCTACATGAAAGCCTATCATGAGACCATCTTGCAACTCTGCTCTCCCATCCAACAGTAAACCCAAGAAAGAATAATGAGGACAAGATTTATCCTGTATACTAGAGAAACTTCATAAGGCATAATGTAACTGTTCATGTGATCAGATCTGCTGCTCCAAAATAATAAATTATGGCAAAACCTTAGTGTGTACTATAGGCTGTTCAGGAACTGCTGAATTGTCAGCATGAAGTTATACAGAATAAAATGTAATAGCTTCTAAAGGCAGTATATAATCATTTCCTATGCCTTGCAGGTACAGACAAAACACACATACTGGTCACATGGGTTGATTTACTGAGTTATTGCAAAATACAATACTTTGCAATCAATACAGAGCAAGTCTATTCAAAAACTATTAAATACATGGTAACATACGTGTCCTCTTGTGATAAAGTAAAAAATATCAAAGTTTTAACAGCTGGAACATCAAATTATGATTTTCACAGAAGAGTAACAAAAGCACTGGTTGAAATCACACTTCAAATATTAATTTGATGTGGTTCATGATCTATGCAGCAACTTTAATACCAGAATCCAGTACTCAAGCCTAGCTCTGGTTCATTGTATACCTGCATTTTTAAATTTTCCATTTTTATTTAATCCACTATTTAAAGTTCCTGTCACTACCTCTGCTTACACCACACTGCCCTGAATTAGCCTCCCCTTCAATGACTGACATCATTGATGGCCAGCCTCTGGAGGGCCAATTCAGATCTCTCCATAACAGCCAGGGAGATCACTAGGGGACAGAGAAAGGGAAGAACATCAGAAGAAGGAAAGTAGGAATGCGAGGCTGTGACAGAACAAGTAATTAAAAACATGACAGTGCATCCATGACTGTTACAAAACACTGTTCACTCAGCAGAACTCATACATGGATGTTTGTCACTAAGTGATTTGTCATTGTAGGTGTTACACACATACAGAGTTCAGCAATAGCGCAGTACACAATAAAATTGAGATCACTAATTTTACAGCAGTGATCAAAAGCACCTTTCCAATGCCTGGCAGTGCAAAGCTCACATCCAAAATGATGGGGCTGCAAACACAGCTGTCAGTCAGTGCAGGACTTGTGAGAACACATAAGAATTCCAGCCAGAACTGCTGACAGAGGACACAAAGGGCCATTTTCCAAGCAGCACTTGAATAGTTTACTTAAGTTCCCCCTCTTCTTCCTGGCCATCTCTCTTTTAGAGTAGCAAAAAAAACCAAACCAACACAAAATAAAAACCCCAAAACCCCAAAACAACAAAAAAATTCAACCAAACATAAAAAATTAAAGTAAAAAGATTTCATGGGAAATATTTTTAAAGGTGTTGTCATACAACATTTCTTCAAGGCCAAGCTGTTGTAATAGTATACAGAAGAAGCTTCCAACAAGATGACACTTCAACATTTGCCTTTCCAATATTTTTAGGGTGCAGTTCAGCAGTGTGAGCACCAGGTTTGCATTTACAAAATGTGTGCTTGTCCCCTCAGGCAAGTAGATATTGTACTTCAGTATGTGCTTACACATGTAAGCTTTGTATACATAGTTGGTGTGTATAACCTTGCAAGTACAAAACAGGCTCTCATCTTTGAAAACCACAGTATTTAAGATACCTAAACCATTAGACTTCCAATCTCTTGCTTTGGTATTGAATCAATAGAAAATTTACAATGTCATTCTTCAGCCTTACACAGACTGAGTTATTAACCAAGAAAATTAAAACATAACAAGTCTCAGGATGCAAAGGAATCTACAAATACATTCATCAATATGCAGTACATTACAAATAAGGAATTGCTATAGTATGAATGAAAACCAAGTAGCTGTAGAAAAACTTGAAAGTCTTCCTAACATATCTGCTCATGTAACAGATGTTTAATGTCACTGTAGCAACGACGATATAGCAGCTTCTACTATGTTACTTCCTAAGTTGTACACTTTATGCCTGATTGGAAAGTGGGGTGGGAAATGAAGGGCCTCTGAGGGGTTCAGCAGCAACACTTAAGTGCATTGAAAACACTGATAATCTGTGGCACACAGGAATTAATGGATTACACAAGATACTTTTTAGTATTTACAGTATCATACACTTGCATAAAGTCTCTGATGCAGTTTTGGTTTTTTTAGTACTTAGCCTGTGGCAAATCACAATAATATTACTCAAAGAAAAAGGCAATCCCATTTTCTTATGAAGACTAAGTGACTAATGTGTATTACTTATTTTTGCTTAAGCTATCTACCTCTCTGAACCCCTAAATCCCAAAATCTAACTGGCACAAAAACCTTTTGATAACTTAATACAGGAACTGATGGCTCTTGATTGTTAACCTTGACTTACCATTAAGCTCCTTGCTGGAGAATTATCCGCTTTGCTACATGTCATAGTTAATACATTAAAAAAATAATAACAAGAAAAAAAAAACAACAAACCCCTCCTCAAAAAACTACACACAAAAAAAATCTGCAAGAAAGACTGACTTTGCTATTGGGTTTCTGACTGCATGATAGGAAATACCAAAGCAATGGGGCATATCACAGTAATGTCATGCTGCCTCTCAGATACCAAAGACTACAGCAAGCCTTCACAAATAATGATGCTTACGGAAGCAGCAAGCAACTCAGCTTCAGCAAAAAACTGCCTTATCACCAGGCTCAGTAAGACATCAGAGCCTTCAAAGCAGTTTCTGATATCAGTCTAAAGACACTGGGATTTCTGGTTCCAGTTAAGGCAAAGGCAAATTGAGGGGAATGGGAAGGAATATTGTACCTAATGTGGCACAGCTGAAAAAAATGATGTAAAGGTGGAAAAAACAACTAAAGGACATGATATCTGTCCCTGAGGGCAGGAGGCACAGCCCTCTGCTCTGCAACAGGTTTTTATACAAGTATTTTAAAACCTTAAAAGAAATCAAATGTGTAACAATCAAGCAGAAGGACAATGCAGAACAAAAGAACTGTGTTCAAAGACTTCACATACTTTAAAAGAAACCTGTACCGATTCCTTCATTGGTAAAAATCTCATCACCAGGTCTAAAGAGCCTTGTACATAAAAGCAAGCAGATAGAGAGAAGTATGGAAATTTTAAATACTTACTAACTGTTGTATAGAAAAGTTTAGTTGTGAGACTGAAAAAGAAGGGCAGAGTTGCTTTTAGTCAAAGGACTGCATACTCTTCTAGAAAATAACAAAAACATAGTAAACCAAAACAAATCAAACCAACTATGCCAACTGACTATCAGTTTACTAGCCTGTAAGTCTTCAACTAAGATATTAAAAATGCACTTGCAACACCTGAACACAAAACAGGGAGTACCTGCTATGGCAAAATTACTTTCCTTTCCAGCACACTCTTCATTAGCTTTTGGTGCCACATGCTGAAGAAACTAGATTTAAATCAGTGAATGGCAAGTGTCAGCAGGCAATGATCACCACTACACTGGTGGCTCCATCCTGATCATCCTTTTTCTCCAACACGTCCTTTCTTTAATCTTTAAATTTAAAAATCAATCTTCAGTTTGGAAATTCAGAGCCATGTCTGATTTTCTTTGTCACTTCTGGTCACACTGTAGGGTATCTTCAGAAACCATTCTTACTTCTTGCCAATTCCATTCGTTACTTTTGATTTGGAGTGGCGATTCCTCCTTCTAGATGAATGGCTTTCACTATTGACTGAATGTTTTGGTGGACTATTGTCAGCACCTGTTGAAAGAGAAACATTATTATTTTTTTTACCATATATTTTACACTGTGGAGCTGTTGTCCAAAAGACAGTAAGGCTATCTAAAGCTACAGTGTTTACAAGTATGGATTTGCAAGCTGGTTGATACACTCCATCTAGTGGCCTATTTTTTTTTATATAAAAATTTTTAAGACTTCTGTAAAATTCTTCCTCCAAAATAAAAATAAAAGTGGAAGTTTGCTATAGCAGGATACAGTGCTGAAACATCCTCCATGTTAAATGACATCAGTAATTAAGCCTCCATATTTTTATTACTGGCAGGTGCTACTATCAGAAATTAAAAACTATGGAAGTGAGCTCACAGATTCTTGTAAGATTGTATTTCTTGTTTTCAGTCTTTCATATGACAGACCATAGAATTGTAGAATGGTTTGGGTTGGAAGGGACCTTCAAAATCATCTGCTTCCAACCCCCCTGCCATGGACAGGGACTCCTTCCATTAGACCAGGTTGCACAAAGTCCCATCCAACCTGGTCTTAACCACTGCCAGGGATGGGACAGCCACAGCTTCTCTGCATAATCTGTGCCAGTGTCTCACCACCCTCATAGTAAAGGACTTCTTCCTAATGTCTAATCTAAATCTACTCTCTTTCAGTTTAAAACTATTCCTCCTTGCCCTATCATTACATGCCCTTGTAAAAACTCTCTCTCCAGATTTTTTGTAGGCCCCTTTAGGTATTGGAAAACTGTTATAAGGTCTCCCCTGATCATTCTCTTCTCCAGCCTGAACAAGTTCAACTGTGAGAAAGCAGAGGTTGACAATGTGGACTGAAAAAAGAATTCAGGAGGAAAAGATGAAAGAGGCTGAAGTTTGTAATTAATACGTAACAGAAAATCATAGAAAGATTTACTTGGTCTAAATTCTCTGGCATATATAAGCAGGGTGGGGGAGGGTGTGTGTGTGGAAACCAAGTTCAAGTAATTTTCCTCCGACGTACAAAAATCCACAAATTTACTACACTGAGAATAAGTATCAGCATCCAGAAAAAACATGTATGAAATAGAAAGCAGCTCTGCTGTAGGTGCTTTTCAAGCCTATGATAAATAAGGAATTGTTTTTAATGATACAAACACATGAAGCATAAACTCTGAGAAGTAACTTCCAGGTGGGAATCCTGATAATTGTTCAATAAGTAAGACCACACTATAGAGTTAATGGAGGAGGCAGGTAACTTACCTTTCCTACACTAGAGGTCAGTTAAGTCAGAGAAGTAGGCTGCTTTTGCTGTTTGTGACCATCAGCACTACATTGACTAGGCAAGTGTCAGTTAAGAACACAAGCTCCAGGAGACATTCTTGACTGCTTCTTAACAAGCAGGAACAAAAGCACAATTCATATTCATGTTTCAAATCAAACATACAATGTTCAGAGAAAAAAAAACAAAACTGTCCACAACAGTTATGAAATGCATAATAACCTAACAAGAATGGCTTGGAATAACAGCAGAAAATTCAGCTGCTTCATTAAAAAGTAAATCTATTTCTAAGAGTTAGAAAAGAAAAAGCTGCAAAGCAGAATAGCTCTGCAGATGACAGACCTGTATAGCTCCTGCACAGATGTTTAAATAGGTCCAGTTGTCTGCAAGGTAAATTTCTTAATCCTCATTTCCTAGTGTTGAGTCTTAATGCTACCACTTCAAGAACATAGGAGCAAAAGTGCCAATACCTTTACTGAATTTAGAATGAAGCCAGGAAGCATCTGGACTGTATGGGCTGTCTTCACTTTCTGATAAGGTCTGCAAAAACAAGGACACACATCATCAGGGTGCTGATGGCTCCTGTGATCAGCACTTCTCCTGTTTGCAATTAGACTTGTAAACTTAAACCGTGACAGAAGTCCTCATAAAACATTCAGCCAGTACTTAGGACATTTTGCTTTCTAGTTAAAAGGTACAACATAGATGGTACAATAAGAACTCGCCACCTTCCATGTGATTTCTTATGTAACCAAGTAGTCTTAATATTCCCCTAGCATTTCACCTGTACAATGGGAACATTAGCTAACCATCCCTGAAAGCTTTGCTAAAATTACAGCCTCATTTTGAGTAACTAAGAGCACAGCATTCTTTAGAAACCACAGTCTAATTTGGGATCTACCCAAGTCCCTCTGAATTCAGAGTTCTTTCTATTGACTTCAGCTACATTCTAGGCCATCCTACCCTCACCCTCATTTATACTAGCTCTGGTAAAGAATTCTAGTATCTATGAGCTTAGCAGTATTAGCTTTGGTATAAAACAAAACTGGGCTTAATAAAGTACCTTTTCTCGGAGGCCATAGTACTCTGCATACCAAACCATGCCATATAAACACAGGAAAGTTGTAAAGGCCTAAACAAGGAAAGAGAAGAAAAATAATCTGTAAAACTTTTTTCCAAATTTATTGCTGGTTCAAGGTCTCAGAGCCCCTGGAGATTCTACACTCAGAGGCTCACGCTCTTTCTCTCTGCATCTTTTGTCAGCATGAGTAAGACTCATGCTTCAGCTGCAAGGTACACATACATTCTGCCACCATGGGGTGTGCAGACCAATTCTCAGCAGAAGCATGAGAATACATACACATCATTCACACACATGCATTATGGTTCTTGTTTTCACCCAGTACAGTCATCATACAAAAGCACTTGTATGTATATTATCAGGAACAATCAGTGCGTGAGAAAAGCTAATTCTCCTTCAGGCTGGGTTACATGTTTGGTTTTGTGGTGCTCTGATCTCAGGAAGCAATTCAATGCTTTTCTGAAGTTTCAGGAATAAAATTGTCATGCTAAATAAGAGAACAATACAATCTGACTCCCTATCACCTGTTCAAACTGTTCCCAACTAGAAGGGAGTACTTATCTGTCAGCCTATTATAAATGCCTTATTTTTCACTGATGATTAAAAATGTGTTCGGCATCAGAGTTACAAGTCTGGCAAGACAGACATCCATTTACTGTTATAAAATGGGCATTTCATGCTGCATTTGCAGTAATCACACTAAAGTACAGAAAGTTGCAGGCTGAGCGAGAATGATTTGCCTGATAAAACAGGGTTCTTTATGTCATTGTAAGACTCCAGTGTGAAACAACATGCATTACTTATTAATGTTACTCATTAACTCCTGTTCCTTTCCAGTGGGTACTATAGCAAGTACCACCAAAGTTCGCTTCATTCAAACTCACATTTTATCTCATAAAGCACCCTAAAACTACTGTTTGTTTAATCATTAAACACTGTTAAAGTTACTATACTCTGCTATATGAAGAAATAAGAAAAGTTATTCTAGTCCCTTCAAAGTGTGTTCTAAACAATCTAGCATTTGCTTTTCCTAGTACATGCACAGAGCTTTTTACCAGAATTCCCCCCACAATGATCCCCTGCTGCAATGTTCCAGAGAGGAAACTCTTTAGATGCTTTCAATGCTTTTGCCATACTTTATGTTTCACATGAGAAATCTCACTTACCACACAGAGAAGCCAAAACACAACATACAGTATTTGTGTTTTGGAAAAAAGATCCTGTCCAAACTTTATGCACACAATAGCTTCGAGGAAAGCAATAACCCTGTGGGTAAATGAAAGACAGAGGAGGGGGTAAAGTGGTTACAAACACTGAGGATTTAACTCACATGTTCACAACCCAGACCCAAGACCATCAACAATAAACAAGCACTATCTCTGGCAAGCACTCCAACACCACCATTAACTGAAATTCTTTGGGAAATTAATTTTTCTTTCTATAATTTTCATCAGCATGAACAGCATACAAAAAGTGATCAACTGGCAGTTCACAATTCCATGAGCCTCTGTTTGTCCAGGGAACAAACAGGAGTGCAAGCCAACAGCAGAGATTTCTATTTATACCTACCACTGTGCTTCAGCCCTCAGCAGACAAATTCTCTTCTATGCCGAACAATCAACAGACTCCCTGTTGGGAGAACTAGAACTGTGCTTTGGGTACTTCACTACTGGATGTAAATTTACTACAATTCTAAATAGGCTACTTGGCTTACTTCAGATGGATTTTAGTGAGAAAATTAACATGAAAAAGCATTTAAAATTCTCTGAGAATCCACACATCTGCTCTGGTTTATGTGCAAACTCAGGATCCACACTATAGTAATCAGAGGTTTTCAGGAAAAATCTGAGAGGAAATATTGCAGTATTTACTTTCCTCTCTGGCATTATAAGAATAAAAACAAGTATTTGTGGCTGTCTCCCTGTTATCAGATGTGTGCACATTTTCAGGCTCAAAGCTATGGAGGCTTGTCCACCACTTCATACAATAGGTTATGAATCTATCACCTGCCATGGGAATATATTTAATTTGTATAGGTCCTGGACAAAATAATTACATGTTTTTAACAAATACAAGTGTAAAAACATGACTGGTGCAGTGAAAGTGTAGAAAATCGGCTCTTTTCAAGCTGAAGCAAATCATGAACTATTAATCTTATGAAAGTTTAATACTTGTTCAATAATGTCTTCAAGGTAGCACATATGAACATATGAACTACTCCACAAACATATGCAGGCACACTTAACATCCGGTCAAGTTCTCCAGTCACCCAAACACACCACCACAGGACACATTCTCTATCAGCACTCTCCATGACCAGAGAGCTGTCAAAAATGGGTTCCTGCTTGGCAGACAGGACCTAGCTCCTTCCATGAAAGAGGGAGGAAAGATGTGTGCATGACTTAACCACTGGTTTTTGTAGAGATGATCCTGGTGAAAATAACAAATGATGGCTTTCTCTGTATCATCTAATGTGACTTACAGCACAGTGAGTGGGGCCAAAATTAAGAATCATGGAATTAATGCCTTATTGACCAATACTGCAAGTATATGAGGCACATATTAGTAAAAATTTGAGAGCAGTGTTACTCTACTGGATCACCAATTATTTTTCTTTCTTGGCTTTATATTATTCTTACTGATCAAGCTGCAGATTAGAAAACAGTTAAGCTGAACTCCAGCAGTGGTAACAAAGTCCACCACCAGGAAACAACCATATGATGGTATGATATACTGGAAGGTGTAAAACAACAGGCTACTTTCAACAAGGACTCAAAAAATGATACAACTGTGTGCTGCATTTATACATTCTTTCCATTGTTCATGTCAAGAATGCTTGGGTTAAGCACATTGTACAACACGACAGCTCTTACAGTTAAAGAAGTGGTAAATCAAAAGATGGAAGAATGCTAACAATAGAAGGTATTAGTGTCCTACTGAAGGGTCATGAGAATACTCCATAGAATTAAAGACACTAAGTGTTTATTCAGTCAAAATGGCCTTATAACATCCTAACAGATATTCCTTTTTGAAAGGCTTCACCTTAATGAAAATGGTGTAGTTTCCAGCAGAGCTGTTGCAGTGGCCTTGTTCATGCCTTGCATCACTGACTGTCCATCTACTGAGAATGCTGCTACAGTATATGTCGAGTCACAGAGCACAGTTTCATACTAATCAAGACACAAATTTTAATTATTCCCATGGTTAGGCTGCTACAAATCCAGTTTGTGCCTTTAGAAGAGTCTTAATCAACACAGCTATGAATCTTCTATATAATTGCTTTTAATTGCTTCAGAAATTGTATTCTGGGTAATTAAATTTCTGGGAAATCACTACTTCTCCAACAACAACAGGAACTCCTGGTGTTACTGTTTTTTCTGCAGATTAAAGAAATAAGCAGTATCAAGGATAATACTCCATGCACATTTCCCACAATTAGATGGGACTATAGATGAATATTCTGTTGAAGTTCTTGTTAGGAGATTATAAAGAAGTATTTGAGCATCTATTTATTGACATTAATGTGTTCAGCGAGAGCTTTGAACCAAAGATAAGGGTTTCTGCAATACTTAATTTTTTAGAGCCAGAAAGTAAACATTCAGCATCATATTTCCCTTTGGTTTCTAAAGGAATATGTTTACACTCTTTCTCTTGGATGAAACAGAAATGCATCTTTCTTAATGCAGAACTTGAAAATTCTTCCCCCAGAATTAAAAAATTGTTTACAATGTGTCTTGTATAAAACTCTAAAATTACCATCTATACTTGAGAAAATTTCCTTTTTCATATAAACATCTCAATTCCTAAATTGCTTACAGATTTCGTAACATGCCTATTCAAACATGGCTCTCCAAAATATTAATAGTTGATCTGCAACTACTAAGATGTTTTTGCACAAACAGAGCAAGGTTATTTGATTCTGATTGTAAATTAAGGAGTAATATTAACTGTGCAATTAATTAGTTACCTTCAGTACTAAAAGCACTATCCATACCAAACCCAGAAAGACAGGTTACTTTGTCATAATCACTTGAAAAGTCCCTTTTTAAGGAGTGTGTATTTTACAGACCCTCTTTAGGAATCATAATGTGTGTTTTGAGGAGGGGGATCCTCCTTAAATAAGGAGTTTTAGGCTTACAGAAACTACTATCAACTCCTACACAGTCCCAGTAAAACTATACAAGAACAGTTACCACCTTTTGTATGTAAATGGATGTTACAGTCCTGAGTTTAATACAGCAAGGAAGGTGGTAAGTCAGTGAAAGAGGTTAAATATTTAAGCCCAGTCAAACCCAAGAAGACGTGTCACCTTAGCCAGGGTACATTAAAGCAAGAGTAGAAACCCCTTCAATTACACTGCAGCATGCTCTGCTCTCATCTCAATTGAATGTTAAGAAAGGGATATTCTTTATCATGGTGTAGTGCACATGGAAACAGGCCTTCCAGCCTAGCACTATTCCTACAAATTTTGTAACATTCCAAAGACTAACAGTAAAGGTAAGATAAGTTTGTCCAGAGCACTGTCTCTAAACTACATCTAAATATTTAATGCTCATTGAAATGCTATTCCAATCTAAGACAGTACTAGATTCTTCTATTAAACATGAAAAAGGTTCAGACAATTCTGGAAATCAAACATACACTAATCTCAACAAAGAGAATGAAATGGCTGGTTTTATTTAGAATACCTGCCATCAGAAATTAGCTTCTTGAATAGTTTCTTAAAATACGTATTTCTTTTTAAGAAGTGATTTAGGATCTTGTTTGTTTTTTTTCTCTTTTGTAAGCTTCCAAGCCCTAAAATCAAAAGGGACACTACTACACTGCTTTATTTACAAGAAGCTTTTAAAATGCTGCAATAGCATATGCTTCAGGTTTCCAGAACAGTAAGTTTTAGTCAAGCCATCTGGAGAAGGAAGTTCTCACCAGAAGCAATCACACAAACTCTTCATTTAAAGGTGTCCTCCAAGAGGTATGTTGAAAGACATTATAGGTAACTATTGTTTATAGTATTATTCCTTTCCCTCTTTGAGAATAGAATAGAAATAGATGATAACTATGGTTTGTTTCACTGTCTCCTGTTGTGATTCCACTAACAGTGGCAATGCCCACCTTGATAGCCAGGTAAACACTGCTCTGATGACAGGCAAGTGGTAGAAGCAAAAGCTTTATCCTTCTCACCTGACTGAGAATATGGGCAGCAAAGCCAATGCTACTTTGAAAGAGCCTAGCTTTATCCAGCAGTTTCTAGTTCTTCCTTCTGTTCTTCTCCTTACTCATTCCATCATTTCCCATGTTATACCTTCAAATCCAGAATTTTCCTTTCCTCTGAACTTGCAAAAAGAAAAAAAAATAAAGAAAATCTCTCCATACTGTTCCTTTATACTAAAACCAACACAAGACAAGGACTGGCTTCATGCAATGCCTGTTCCTGTGCTGGACTCACACTGAACATTTGTCCAAGTGCTTTAAGAATGCAGCAAGAACACTTACCCAAACACCCAGCACTGAGTTCCCACCCTCTTGCACTGTGTATCTGTGAGGTATGCATAGTATTGCCTGAGAAGGGAAACAAGAAAGTTCTTCAGAGGATTTATATTTGGAAAACAGGTTTATGTTACAAACGTATCTATACTGAAAATGAAGTGCTGAGGTTAAAATCACATGCACTCATGCTAGATGTTTACCAGATGGCTTCAACTCTAGTAGAAGCTATTATTGCATAGATCAAATAGCTCGAAACAACACAAAAAATCCTGAGAGCAAGGACTGGCAAAGCACCCAAACTAGTAGGCTAACAAAGCTATATATTTGTCTCCTGCCTGTCCACTGAATCTCCAATTCTTCTGGGCAAAGTGCAACAACTTTGGAAGAATTAAGAGAATTCCCCACTTCTTCCACAGTCTTTAGCTTATTAACAATTGCATTTTCTTGAGAGTTGCAAGTTTCAATCTTGAAAGAAACTGAATATAGCTACTCTATGTCCTGGGTGAGTGGTCTAACCACTGGCATGTTTTCCCCTGCAGGATTTCTCACTAATCTGAAATCAGTCTGCAGATCATTCTGCTCTGTTCTTTATGCTCCCAAAATTTTAGGATCTTAGAGGGGGGAATTCCAAAGAAGCGAAACCAGGGTTGTTCTTCTCAGTCTCTGATTTCCAATGACAGATAAGAAAGACAAATACTATTAATCTAACAATAAAGGGATTGTTTGAGAATAAAGACTTCAACAGGATGCCAAGTGCCACCTATATAGGTGCTTTAAGGATGTTTGAAGTGATTTAATAAACAGTGTGAAATCACTGTGCATAACTTCATTAAGCCCAACATTAACAGCTGTATTTTGGGAATAAACCAATGCATGGTTGCCATTTAACTATTCGAAGTAACATCACTTTACTCATGAATGGTAAATTCCCTGTCTCTAACTTCAGCACTGTGTACATTCTATCTACCTCCAGCTATGTCACAGGACAAAAACAGACAACTCTGCTAGCAATGTGAAATATTGTGCATGACTAAAAGCAGGTTAATGTTTTTATAAAACTATTAAGACCGCATATATATTGTTTTGTTACTCGGAATATGGTAATGCTCTATCTTTTTATGTAACATGCCAATATTTCCAATAGACAAACAGAATAAGCAACTCAGAAGAACCAACAACTCCTATTTTTCCTCATCTACATTTTTGTGAGCACCTGATTCACCAGCTTGGATATTTTCACATGCAGACCTCAAAGATAAATTATGCAGCTAAGTCACAAAACAGGGAGATGATATACAAACAGAAAATGGAACAGGATGGTTCTGCATCCCTATGGAAACACTTTCGTACATATTATACCTTACTTATTTACTTGTCAGAAACTACACTTTACTGAAAAGCAATGACTGTTTTGCTTTTTTGTGGTAGCAAAAGTATAGATTTGTTGAAATGTGCTGTACTTATCCACAAACTATACACAGTTCTTGGGTGCCTAGAAGTCAGGCTACTTTAAACTGAAGAACAACCAACAGGGCAATAAAATTACCTTACAGTGGGCGCTGTAATGATTCCTATGAAGAGAATTCTCCCCCAGCTTAAAGGGTGGCTTGCTTGGAACACAAATATATGTTTCAGAAAGAAGGTGTTCAACTCAGTCAGCTAGAGGGAAAAAAAAAAAAGTTAGTAAATAGCATACAAGTTATGTGCAGATATTAATATGGAAACTAAAACACAGAAGGAAAACTATTTATGCCCCACTATAGCCCTGCTGGTTAGATCAAGGATTCCTGCTCTAGGACAAGCAAGGAATACACCAGTAAAACAATGAATCTTTCCCTAGACACCTCTGTGAAAGTATTCACTCTCTTTCCAGAAACTCATTAAGGGACCAGACACTAATTCACACTGCAGAGGTCTTCTGCTAACTTTCATATCTTAAATCAGGGTAAATAACGGAGGCAAATTTGGTAGAGAAGAGAGCATTAAATGAAAAAACAAAACAAAACAAAACCCAAGCCAAACAAAAAAAACCCCAATAATAAAAACCCTGAAAACAAAACAAAAAATACCACCACAAAAAAAAGTGTATCAAACACTTCAAATTCTCCTTTTAAAAAACTAAATTCAGCAGACTAAAAAGACATTTTAGCGAAGACTGCTAGTATTTGCATGACCGAAACAGTTGAGACATATTGTAGTCTTACTAGATCAAGGCCAGAATTCTAAGTATCAGTGATCCATCCAACAGTCAATAGGAAAGAAAAACAACCATCAACCAAAAAAAAAACCCCAAAACATACCAAAATAAAAAAAAAAACCCACCCCCACACAACCAAACCAAACAAAAAATTAGCCCACCCTAAAACCCCACTGTATAGCAGTTCTTAAAACTGCATCAATTGCAAAGAGCAATCTGATGACCAGTACAGCAATCTGTAACATTCTGTTTTTTTTCCCCCACAGATTCTGTAATTACAGTTCTGAACTATCATGTAACTCCGGTGAACAATGCCCTGACCAATTCTGTATTATCAATTCATTTATCTGTGTATTTTAATGACAGACATACATTGCATTAGAAGATCTTCTGGCTAAACACATTAAGTAACTGAGCTGACAGCAGCTTTGATTTCACAGAGTTTCTTACCTGCCAAATGATCATGAAAAGGTAGATTCCAGCCACTCTTTGAAATGAAGACTTAGGGTCAAACCAGCGGACATAGGTCCAGCTGGCTGGTGTGAACTGTAATACAGCTCTTTTGATTTTCCCTGTGGTCGTGTGAATGTCCCTAAAAAAAGAAAATGGCTGGAGTAAATATGAGGAATATGCAAGGGGGGCAGGGGGAGAAGCAATAACCATGTTACTGGTGTTTTGGAACAATCACACTGCTAGACAGCAGAGAAGTTCACAAGACACCACAGCGTACCAGGCAAGGGTGAATTAAGAAATACAATCTATTAGGCATTTCAGTAAGGGTACATTACACCCTGAAGTCCACCCTCCTCTTATCCTCGGTCAGTAACTAACTACAAAACATACCTATCATTCTCCCCATGAAGGGAAGAAATCGGGATTGCAATTCTGCAACTCCTTTGGAAAAATTAAAGGGTACTTCTTCCTAATCTATGCTGTCATTGCTTATATCCCAAAGGCTCCTTGTGCTAGAACTCACTGACATCAACCCTTCAAGAATCTGTCAGATTCATTACTCATTAATCGTAGGAGGGGCTGGCTCCACAAGCCTGAAAACAGTGCACTTCCAACACACACAACCCCTGATGTTCCGACATTAGAGGCATGCAAATCTTCTGAAGAGATCTGATAGCACTGTTAAAATCTAGAAGGCTTTTAAATTCCCTTTTGAAAAGGAATGTGAATGGAAGTTCATCTGGCAGAAGTGTTACTAGTTTTTGGGTTTGATAACATTAATTCAGATGAGCAACAGCATCCATAGGATGGGGAGTCTAAGAAAAACTCAAGTTTCCTTCTCTGAAGGAAGACTAGCAGGACTACGAAAGTCAGTTTTCACCCTGTTAATTCCCTGGCTCTTCTGGACAATAAAAAAATTATTAAAAGATACTCAGCTTTGATATTTCTGATACTTGTGCTCCTTTAGGCTAGTAGGATCTTAGATAATGGGGAACCTTCTAATCCTTAAGATCTGTGTTTATTCAGTGAAGAAAAAAAAAAGAAAAAAGAAAACAAAAGGGCAAAAGCAAAAGCTTCTTATTCTATGCAGCTCCTGTTCATATTAAAGATCAAAAAATATATCCATGCATGTAAAAGAATGGTAGGAAAAATTATTTCACAAAGACAGTAAAGACTAGCCCTGCCATAGATATTCTGCTGCTTTAATTTTTCAGTGAACTCTCTAAAAACAGAGGAACCAAAAACTCTGACGAAAATGCAGGAAAACTGAATTGAGACTAAAGGCTGAATGGTTCTCAGAGGAATTAACAAATTTGCGAGTAAGAAAAACAAGCAGTATGGAAGTTCATGTAGGATACAAATTTGGAAGCCAAGATTTTAGCTCCTTTTCCATCCCCCAAAGCAATATCCTTTGGCTTTGTACTTGATCTGTTTCATCCATACTATTGGCAACATGCAGATAACTGCCCCTGACACCAACTGGCAGTGAAGGCAGGAGATGGACAAAAAACCATGGATGAAACTGGACAGCTAGGAACTACACTTAGTAGGCCACAAGCTGTGGCCCTTTTACACAACAAATGCTGCTTTATTTTGCAATTACTCCATTTATTTTAGGGGGTCAGCAATGGAGTAAGACAATTCACAGCAAAGGTACAATCAGCCTGATTACTCTTCTGCAATAACAGCTAGTGCTTACAAGATTGCCACACTAATGCCTCATTAAGGTGAGTCCAAATCTAGTTTAAAAATATCATATAATGAGTAAACAATTACAGTTTTTGTTCACTGTCTTCTTCAAAGTTTTGCTTGTACAAAATGAGCTGAAAATGCAAATAGCTTTATTACTTCATATTTTCATTTGACATTAATGCTTGTAACTTAGATTGAAATGGAAAATTATATATACATAACCATATTTACAAACATATGTTGCACAGTAGCATTACTATGAGATGGATTTTTTAAATTTAAAATAAATCTACAGCACTGCCAGCACATGTGGATGCATGCCCCCTCTACACCACAGAGCACTTTAGATATGCAAAGAAGGAGGTCTATTTCCCAAGGAAATTAATTTCATATTATAACATTAAACATGTTTATTTTAATTTAGACCTACTTGAAGCTTGCCCAGTGATAGGTCCTCATCTCCAAGAAACGACAAACTACCATGCCCAACCAGATGCCACCCCCGTTACAAAGCAGGATGTCCAAAATGACTTGATCCCACCAGCATTCAGCAAAATTAGGCAGAAGGTGCATGAAGAAGAGCTACAGAATACAGCAAAAAGATTCTGGGTGAGGAACAGTACAGAATTCATACAAATTCACTTTTTAAGTACACATTCAAAAAATCAGCTTTTCAGTACGTCATACTTCGAGGACATGAGCCACAATCACTTAAATTTGATGGGCATCCTTCCATTAACTTCAGAAGGCCTTGGATCAAACCACAAAACACATTAGAGGTTTCCTTCTCACTGTTCCCTGTTGGGGCTATGTGTACATAAGGATATCAGGTAGCACTTGGCCTCTCAAATGATGATACACAAAACATTCATAGAAATGCATGAAACAAGCAAAACTACTGCATTCCCTGGGGAAAGAAGGTTTTTTTGGGCTAAATTGAAGAGCATCTTTGGTTTATTCTTGATAAATAGTTTTAAGGATGTTTTCTAAACCAGCAACAAGATGCAATAAGTAAAATGAATGCATTTGTAACAACTGTATTAAGCATATTGGAGTTCAGGGCTTAAGACTTGTTTTATTTCAAAACTTACTATTTTTAGGAAATTGAGTGACTGTAAAAAGATTGAGACATCACCAATATTTCAGACACTACAAGCTTTGCTGCTATACTTGATTCAGAATGGCTCAAGTTTAAGGAGATATTCCTGCTTGGTCTATGCTAAACACTAATGATGAAGGTACTTATATGATTAAGATGCTGGAAAATAAGCCAGAAATGAACTAACATCAGATTTTAAAGCTGACACCAACTGGACATTCAGCTTCTTAAGTATTTCCCCTGGAAAGTTCACAAATCATTTACCTCTGAAGAAATCTGTTTCTTTCTGAATACCACTATGAGGCATTAGTAAGGCAACTAAATGTATTTATAGATACATTTGATGACTTTACACTTTTATAGTGTGAAGAACAAGTCACCAGAGTTAAGGCAAGATGTAAACATGCTACTGAGAGGTAGCAATGGATTCAGCACCTCTTATTGCCCTTGAAGAGAAAATAATATCCTCTATTCTACAGGGAAAAATCACAACAACCAAAAAAAAGGCTAAAAAAATTAGCTGTGGACTGGATATCAAGACAGTCCCCTTGGAATCCTCAAGGACATGCATAACAAAACACAGAGCAAAATAATGAATACTCTTACTTCCAGGAAAACAGTAGCATTTTTGTCAATTAATGTACATACACTGTGGCTGTGGAACATTACTGGTATGACTTTGTAATAAAGTATCTTTTGTTAACAAATGTATAAATAAGATATTAAAAAAAACCCAACCAAACAACCCAGATCCAGGAAAAGGAACAAGGTTTTCTATAAACAGCAACAAATATTGGACCATTCATAATAAATTACAGTGACTGATATAGGCCATGACAGTTCCTGTGAAAACTCTTGCAAAAGTTTATCAAAGTAACTGTTTTCTTTGATAAAGCAATGGAAATTTCAACCCGTAGAAAAGAAAATCTGACTTTCCCTTCATGCCCCAACCTACACAATGTTGCTGATTATCTTGCTACAGTTTCCCTTTCATATTTTAAACTAATTTAATCTAAAAGGGGCAGTAGGCTACAAATCTCAACCTTCAATAATCCAGCCAAACCCAAAAGAAATTATAGACAAGGCAGCAAAAACCAGCACAGAGGTGTTAGCCAGACCATCTCTAAGATGCTGTTTTCTCAGAACGAGACACCAAGGTCTGCCTGTATCCCAAATTCAATCTGATCGTATGGAGCATGAGCCAAGTGTCCCATTTCAGAACAGGGAGCCAGCTGAAATCCATTAATGTTAACAGGAGATGCATAGCTAAATCCCTGTGTAACTGCCCTGATAACTTCTGTAGGTTTCCAATGACTCTCCTGAATTAACTAATTCATTAAAAATCCATCTAAGTGGTGATAACCTCTCTATATGTTGAACCTTACCCAACACATTGTTTCAATAATGTGCTTTTCAACAACAGGGAATACTAGACACCCCATGAGGTGTCAAATTGAAGATGATGGTTGTGTGATGATCAACTGCATGATAAGAGTGCATGTGAAACAAATCCAAATTTATCCTTTTCCAGAGGGAAAAAATGAGTACAATAACCAGCAAAGCTGGTTTTTATGGATGGGAACTTATGAAATTCCAGTCTTAAACAGTTTCAAAATAGCTCAGAAAACAGCATAACCTTCAATGTCACAGAATAAAAATGTTATTTTGAAAAGGAACTCATGGCACCAGTATTTTCAAACTCAGAAGATTTTTATACAACTAAATCCTTAGCTGTGCTTCTGACTGATAAATGCCTTGTCAGATGAGCCAAGCATTCTCAAGACAGCAGGCTCTATAGAAAACTATGATTTTAAAGATTAAATTCAGGTATGTACACCTACACTTATTAAGTGTGACAGGTTAGACCATGCTGTCCCAAAAGCAGAGTCTAAATTGGATTTTTAATTTTTTTCCTCTGAATTGCCCAATCAAAAAATTCAGTGAAATTAAACTCTTTTATAGAAATGCATCCTCAGGTCTGACATGACACATATTCTACTAATCAAGCTTTAGGTTACATGCAAATGAAAATAATTAGAGTAGCAATTAATCAGCTTGAGTTCTTAAAACAGGTCTAACAGTAGGAACCACTAGTCCAAGCAACAGTTAACTGACTGCATCACAAGTCAATACAAGTCAAGTCTTTTTTCTTTGGGTTTTTTTTTAAATCCAAAATAGGATTTGAAAGTACCAACAGTCAAATTACTTACACAGCTGCTTAGGAGAACTGCAGTAAAGCTTGATAGTGGTTCTCCAAACCATGGTACAAGGGACTATATACACCATGTGTGAAGTAGCTTAGATCTAGGTCAAGTAAAAACCTCGTATTTTTATGTCAATAAACACAACTTAACTGACTTGTGGGGTACAACTTAACAAAAGAAGGGCTATAAGCTCAGGCCTCATGACAGAAAACACCACACTGAATGATGTCTTGCCATTCCACGTAGACTTCTGCTCATAGGTCCTCACACCTTCCTTGGTGATCTCTCAATTCTACTGTACTTGACAGTATACACAGTGCCTAACAGTGTTGAATTTGGGATAAGGAGATTGTGACAGTAGATCACAGATATTGCAAGGTCAAAAAGGAGAACAACTGCTCTGAATCAGGGAATATTAATCAACATCTGAAGTACCATGGGTGTTGAATCTGTTGACTGCCAGAACAACAGAAAAACAAATTGTGGGTGACACCAACAGGCTGCCCTAGACCTCCCTCCTATTCAAGTGGAAGTAAATCACCTAAACCCCAGTTTGCTGTTGTCCAATAATGCAGCTGCATCAATTGCTCAGCATCTGGTTTATAAGGCTTAAAATGTAAATCTGTGACTCAGAACTAGTGAACTGTCCTTCCAGTAACATTCACACTTCCCCAAGAACAATTCAAGTCTCGCACATTTACTTCCAATTAAGATAAATGTGTGGCCTACCTCAGTGAGCTCCCAGGTGATGCTAATAGTCCAGCACAGCCCATAGCTGCGGATCAGCAAAGCCTTCATAGCCCAGCCCCAGAAATGCCCAAAAGCAAATATATCAAAGTGGCTGAGGATTCTCTCCCAGGTGATAACATGACAGTTCACAGCATACTCCTGTTAATGGAAAAAAAAAAAAAAAGAAAAAAAAAGAAGAAAAATCATCTCAATCATCAGGCAGGCTCATAAACACTGGAATTAAGCAAATCCTTTCCATCCAGTGCAACAACCCTGAAATTATAAGAATATTAAAATAAGCATTATTCTACTTTCTTGTCCTTCTAAATTTTCTGGATGACAAAGTTTAAACTCTTCTCAGAGGGAAAGGAAAACTTTCAGTATTAAGACTCAGTATCACCACAGTTACAGCTCTAATTTAAAGATAGACCTTGGTGCCTGAAGAAACATGCATTTCTAATGTGACAGAGGAGCAGCAGGAGCAATAAAATCAACACTAATAAAATCAGCAAACAATATTCCAGAAAACAGTTATTTGCTTTTCTTTGTGGGTCCTGATTTGAAATAACCACCTTCCTCCATTTTCATGCTGTCTGGTGTTCAGATGTGGCTCACAGGTGGCTAATCATCATTAGTTTGCAACGCTATCTTACTCATCTCACTGTTCACTTGAGTATCTTTTGTGTTCTGTTTTCCTCAGGAAAGCAATTTCCCAGACCACATTCTGACAGAAAGTTCAGTTACATGGCTGAATTATTTGATTAAATAAATAAAATTATAGAGAACTTGCAACTGTTTTGTCACAGATGAAGGGCAGATTCCTTAAGAACATAAATATTTTAGCCATCCATAACAAAGGAAATGTTTTCTCTTGCCATGTTGTACAGCAAGTGTTAGAAATCACTGCCAAACAACAAAAAAATCTCCATGCCATCAGGAGGCTGCATCTGTGAGGTTCTGTCTTGTCACTGGACACAAACTGAACGATTCCCAACTGGAAAGAAACATTAAAAAAAAAAAAAAAAACCTAACAACAACCAAGCCCCAAAACCCCCCCTCTGCTCTCCAACATTCCTAAAATGTACATTGCCACCTGCAGGTGACAACATAGCACTGCTTACTTAGTGCTGTACCAGATTCTCTTTCAGACCAGAACTATTGCTTATCTTTCACAAACGAACCATGACCAAGTTGAAAACGGGATGGTAGAGTAAGGCTTAAATCCTGGTCTCCCTAAAGAGAAAAATGCAGAATTTCACACAAATACTACTTTAGTCCCACTGTGCTTGCACTCTCTGAAGTGAAATCATGGTTATTGCTTCTCATACATGCCAGTGCTGATGGTCATTCAGAGAAAGCTGCATCACCTGTCCTGAGGACAGCAAAGCTGCCGCTTTAGTACATGTACCCCAAAACATCTAAAACTGGCTCACTTCCCAGCATAAGAAGCACAGAATTCACAAAGGAAGGCAAAGTCTCCTAGCTGCACCATGATATCTGAAACTCTAATAAGTGAGCAACAGCAAGGTTACTATAAAAGTAAGCTTTTCTTCAAGGCTTTTGCCTTGTTCCCATTTTTTCCTGGGGTTTTTCCCCTCTCTATCTCCTCTTTCCAGCTGCGGCTCTGCCAGTCAGTGAAATGCATTGAACTTTCTTCTATACTCAAGTAACTTTGCCAGCCCCGGACAAAAAAACAAGCTGCAGCCTTCACTGTATCTGCACCTTAAAAATTTCCTCAACTTTAAGGGACAGTATCAGGATTGCGAAGTACTACAGAGTAAGTTTCTGCTGACTATAACAGTACTGTGGCTGTGTGCCAGTAAGCAATGTAAGTCCTCCCCTGACTTGAATCTATTTATTTCTAACTTAAATGACAGGAGAGCCAGGTGAACCTGACCTACCAAGACTCCTCAGCTCCCTTTTGTTGCCCAGCAACATCATCAAGCACCACACTCATGCTCACTTTTGCAATGTGTCCTCCCACAACCCTAAGAGCAGGCTGCCCACACCTCACCACCACACATCTCATGCAGGACAGAAATTCACAGCTCTATTCTGGACGTTGGAGTTGTACAAAATGTACTGCTGAGGTGCAACACTTGAAGTATCCAAAGTTTTCCAGGTAAGGAGCTTGTGAACAACCCTCACTATCAATCAACTTATATAAGCTTACTGCACTGTAATGATTTTCATTCCTGCTAAAGAGCAGGAGTTTGCAGCCACTGCTGATTAGGTGCTGTGCAGTAGTTTGCATATGCAGAAAATTGCTATTTGCCAAAGAAAAACAATCAGTGTATTTCCTTACTCTTGAGTCACGAGTCTGGTAACAGCACTCTCATCTCTCCATGCAGTAATCCTCTCCTGCTTGGTGCTCAACTGCTCACACCCTCTTCTGCCTGTTTCCCCAAATACGTCACATGATCTTCCCAGGCCTCCTTTTACTGCCTCAAATCCCTGTGCTAGTGTCCTCACCTGAAAAACAATGTTCTCTGTATTAAAAACTCCTTGCAAGCTGCTCAGCAGGCAGAAGAACAACCCTGGCTTTCCATGCCACTCCAGATTATGGCCTGTGGAAGTAGTTTCCCAATTGTAACAGCACCAGCACTTAGCCAGTGACTGGAAGGAAGGCAGGAGAGCCCTGCAGTTGCTATTCCTGGATTTCCACATACTCGGTAGCATGCCAATCATGTACTAAGCTCAGAGCAATAAGGAAAGATCAAAGTTCTTTAAGTGCAGCATTGAGGCATCAAAAAAACCCAACTGATCTGGGACACACACACACCATACCAGCCTTATTTAGATACTACCTTGCTAAGTCTGTTTTCAGTATCCAGGCTCATATTTATTGTTTAAAGAAATCCAAAGCCACCCCAGTTCAAACATATCTCACACTCCCAACTGTACACTCACCTGTATTAGAAGAAACATACAGAGAAGACCATTTCTCACACCAATTGATTGTAATGTAAATAAATACGCTCATTGACTCTATCAAGTATAAGCACAAACTTGTACTGCTTATGCCAGTAAATTCAGATTCATACCTTCCCACTCACTCAAAACATGCCTAAAATAGCCAAAATGTCCAGTAAGGTGCCATGGGTACATACCATAATATCTGCTTCCCTTGTGGCATATCGAAGATTAGGATCCAGCCAGTACATCACTGCTTTTACTTGCTCAAAGTTAAGGAAGAGCACGAAAACCAGGAACAGAAAATAGAGCACACTGAGACCTGCAAAAAAGACTCAGCTTTAAAATCATGTTCACTCACAGGACTCCTTGGGACACAGTCTGAAGAGCTGCTATCAAACTGTTGCTCTATACGTGCTCAGTTTGCACAGATAAATTTTCTACATATGGCAGTTAGTTGCAAAAAAGCTTAAGAAACATAAGTCAGATGGTAGGTAATCTCTGAACACTCAGCCCCTTCATACCACCTCCTGTTTCAAGTGACATAATATGTGCTTGACTGCATGAACCTAATCCAAACATAGTCTAATTAGTCCAAACACAAGAAATACAAGGCTATGATCAGGAAACTTTATTAAGAGATACATTAGGACCTCAGGACTGGATTAGCTCTGTCCCTTTAAGTATTCTTGGTCTCACTAATGCAGGCCCCTAAGCCTATATGTAGAGTTCAACACAAAGATCAGTGAAATAATCCCACATGGCAATTCTGACCTATGCTGGCAATAAAGACTACTTATAAACGAATGCATGTTTGAGTTACTTTTGTGAGCTAAATTTGCTGCTTGAAGCTTTTAAAGGTAAAAATTATTCTTATTTGTTTTCACACCATTATAAATTACAAAACACTATCGCATTTGGGACTACTACCTCTCTCCTCCCAGTGTCTCAATATGGATTTTTTAAAAATAAAAAAATTCGGAGAAGTTAAGACTCCCAGGTGTAGGTCTGTGAGCAGATGAAGCCACTGTTGGGAGCATATCTTTACATTATTCAAGTTCACAGATATCTAAGACCACATTTTGAAGAGGCATATAGTCACTAATACCATTTTCACAGTCTAGCACTCAAACTTACTTGTATCCTCCAGCAGTGTCATGGAAAGTAGAAAGATTAATGTGAATAAACTCAGTATCTGCTACCCAAAATAAACTACAGCAATTCAAAAAATGTATTTTCAACTATAACCAGACTCTACATGTTATTAATCCCCAGTGTATGCTAGAGAACAACTTCCATTCAAGTGCACACACATGAACTGAAACATTGTCCTCTGCAATACATCCTAAACACACATCAGGTAAACAGGGGCCATACTGCTACAAACAGTACAGCCTACAGGCAAGAGTGTATCCTGAAGCGCTGAGGACACACTACTTCTGCCTTTCATCATTTCATGAATAGGTCCAAGACCTCAAGTTGTGGCTAAATAAGCCATGCCAGAAGCAGCAGAATTACACAGGGAAAAACATTGCATTTTGTATGCAGCCTTTTCCTGAAAGTACAGGGGGTCAAGCTTAGACAGGATCAGCACTGAGAATGACCTTTTACTTTCCATTTGCTGAAACCTAAAATGAGCAGTAGGACCTCTGTCTCTCCAAACTTCACAAGAAGCAGGATTCTTTAATGGGTACTATCTAATCAGCAGTATCCTCTCAATGTCAACAGATGAGTAATCAGCTACTCTGGGAGGCTACTTATTTTTAGCTGTATAAGGTGGCAGGAGACAGAAACATTTGGTCCCCTTAAAAAGAAAGGGATCAGCTTTTAAATCCAGTGTGCCTAATTCTCTGCAAATGTGCTTAAAGTCTGGGATATGCTGAGTGAACCACGAATTATTTCAAAATAAAATTCCTTATGTTTTTCCATGCAATTCAAATATTTAAAGAGCAAGAGTCCTCAACTAGTTCTGTAATTAACAGAATTATTTTCCAAACTATGAATGCAAATATATACAAGTATTTCTACTGAACTTTTAAGTTAAGAATATGAATATATAAATTTAAGAATATTAACAAATGTATGTTATGCTATACAGTGACACAACTTAATTAACATACAAAGTAATAGCATATTTTGTCAATAATGAAAAGCAGCACCTTGCTGAACTGGATTTAGTTAGAAGTCAGATAGCATATGTGGTACCTATTAAAAAAACAAAACAAAAACCAAACATTTTTGGGGTGGGAAAAGATGGCAGTGGGAAGAGTGTGGTGGAAGGACATTAGGAAGCACAAACACAAAACAGGATTAAAACAGAGTAACAGAATGTATGATCCCTTTCCGGTGATTTAATTTACACCATCCTAACACAGAACAACTACAACATTCCCAAACATAACTAAGAAGAGATTACAAACACTTGCTCAGAAGTGAAAGTCACATTCACACGAGTCTGATGCACAATTACGTTTCATAACAATTCCATTCATCTGGAAGTTAAAGCAAACAGTGCTGCAGAAGCACTGAAGAAGTCAGAAACACGACCTGAACTTACCAAAAACCATCCTCCATATTGCAGGGTGGGGACGTGTAAAGGGTCCTGTGGACAATAAACAAAAAGCTTATTAGAAGACAATCTATTTTTTAATGTATCTCACAAGGATTTGGCTTGAGCATGAATCAGTTCTCCACCAAACTACGTAATACACCCCAAAATTGCGGCTCTATGTTAAAAAAAAGTTAATAGCAGATTACAGAGAGAGGAAAATGAGACTGCCAATTAGTAATGTATAAACAAAATTTTCCATTATTTTCATAGTTATTTCCAGAACAGTATTAGTCTGTTTGCTCAGGAGACACAATATCCCAGATGTACCCAAGGACTTCTTGATCTGGTTTCTAGACCACACCTCACACATGGCCTGCTCCCAGTGAAGTTATCAATTACAAATTTCTGTGCGTTAGCAAAGAACCATAGTACTTAGCCTTCAGACAACCATGAAATGTTATTAAATAGGCCTCCTAAAACTTCCAAACTGAGGATATATAGCTGACAAGAAGATACCTATGATCCTTACCAGTGTTGATATGTGGAACTTGATGATCTTAAGGTCCTTTCCAACCCTAACTATTCAATATTGTTTACTTCAGAATCAGTGACTAAACTGACTTTATGAGATTAAAAACCTCAGTTAATGTGAAGAGTACAGAAGGTAAGACTGGTGAAATTAGAAAGCCTGTAAACATGAATTATACACTTAGGTAGCAAGAAGTAGTTGAACTAATATTTTCATCACACACCGCAGACTGCTCTTTCACCACTGTATGTGTAAACCTCATTTTTCTGTGGCATTCAGTTTTCCAGGGATCACTTTGTGAAAAGTATGGATTAATGATTTTTAAAATGAGAAAAACACATTCCAGCTCTGAAGCACAAAACAGCCCTGAACACAAGTACCGTTTTTTTTCTGAGCACTGCTAATCATAAGACAGTTTAGATTTGACCCAAATTATGCTCTTGCTGACAGTAGTAAGTAAAAATTAAAGTAATAATAAAAATAACCCCCCTCCCAACCAAAACTAAGCAGCAAGAGCATTTCCTCCACAGAATTAAGTGTCACACAAGGGATTTTTCACCTTTTTGCACTTCCTGCTCCTAACAATTACCAAAACCTTTGCCCAACTTAACCTTCTATTGACGAACCATGGTTTCACACTGTAATGCAACTTAAGAACATTTCTAACTATCTCTACCCTCTGGTAAAGCGATTTATGTAAGCTGTTATATCTCCGCAAATTTGCAGATTGACACTTTTGTTAAAACACACTAAGGCAGACTCCTTTTAAGCATTATTTAAGGATTTGCAGCATCATTACTTAGCAATCTAAGCTGCAACTACACACCTGCAAACAGAGGCACCAATTTTGAGAACCTCACTTCCTTGTTAGATACAGACAGGCTATGAATAAAACTGCATATTCCCGTTATCTCCACTCAGTATGACTGCAACCCATTTTTAGACTGTTCCTTAACATAAAGGAATTCAAAAAAGAAAAAATACATTAAAAATGGTACTTCAATAAAAATCAAAATAAATTCAGTGGCAATAAAGAGAAATTAACATGCTACAAAAAAGTGAAATATAAACAGTTAAAACCTTACTCACCATTAGGAAAAGCTAGAACACTGATGATTAGAAAGAAGAAAATCACAGAGAGGATACCCCTCCAAATATTATCCTCTGGGACAGAATCATCCCTGAAGAGACAGACAACATCAAAGTGTTAAAGTACATTATAAGGATGAAGTTGAAAGGCTTTATTATTTAAATAACGACTATATGGAAATTCAGTATAACAAAAAAAAAAAGCAGCATGCTGATTACATAACAAATCAAGGCAGTAACTGCACTGAATGATTTTCACTCTGCACTTCTGGGTATCCCTTTCTCACAAGAGAGTTAAACATATAACCAAAACATGCCAGCCATAAGCATTGTTAGAAGTCAGTGCAGAAGCAACGACTAAACACAAGGTGAAAAAAATCTTCCTGCTTCTTTACACTGAAATGTTGACAGAAGCATTATCCAAAGTACATTTACACAGGAAACAGAGACCTAGACCAATACTGGAAGCCTGGATGCAATGCCTAGGTTTCCCTCTCCTATTCTGGTGCTGCTCACAACGCCTTTCACTTCCCTCAGCCTCTTTCCAGTGCCAAATGCCTGAGGTGAGTGCAGACAGGGCAGAAACAATAACTACAATCAGCCTTTGGAAACAATAATTGCATGTCTTAGAATTAATGTGTAACAGAGACACAGCACAACTTAAAAGAACCAAAGACAATATCATCTTGCTTTTAGATCTATTAAGCCAAAGTTCTGAATAAAATACCAGGTATTATTTGTGCTGTCATACTATGGCCAGAAGAGACCTAACAATTCAGTTTGGCATGCCAAGGCAAACTTGATCGAGCTCTTCTTTCTTTCTTTTCGGGCAGGTAGAATATAGCGAACAGCAGTGAGGTTAACAAAACCAAGGCCACCCAAGTTTTATAACAAACAGGTTCTAGGATACCTTGGCAATACCAATAGAAACAATATTCAGACTATCAAAATGTGTACAGCTAATATTTCATAATGCATTGCCAACTAGAACTGAAATTAAAGTTTTAAATTTGGGTAATTTTCAGGTACTTAGGATCAGTTCATCTATTTAAATACACTCCTTTATTTATTCCCAACCCATAATACCAAAAAACTCCCAGCAAACTTCAGCGGGGTAAAGTTCCACCTGGCAGATCATCTGCCACATTTCTGGATGGTTCAGTAAAAAATGTGTGACAGTATAAGTGTGCTCCACATTTGATATTTGCTACAGTTACAAAATATTTCTCACTTTGCCAAATTATTTCCCTTTTCCTCAGAATTGAACCTTAACAGCCCCACAGCAGACTTTCATCATTGTGAGGCATTTAAGCACTGTGTTAGTTTAATTGTATGGCAGGAAAAAGTACATTAAACATGAATGGTTTCTCTGCAGGCCTTAGGGACTCCCCACAGCATTTTTTCTTTAAACCAGCTCAGTCCAGATTTACCACTCATTTTCCAGCAGCCATGCAGCACAGGCTGACACTAATTACACCAGATATGAACCCCAAGTTCCAGAGCTTAATTCTGGCTCCCTTGGCAATCTCAACAGCCTCATGCCATCCAGTGTGCTTCCCAGCCAGAGCCTTGGGCTCCAGTGGCTTGGATAGCAAAACCACATTCCTGTTTTAACACGCACAAATAACACAGGCACATGCTGTCACACGTGCCACCAAGAGGAGGAATTTTTTTTTTTAATAAAGTATAGATTACTAGAGTCACATTACTGCACAGTTCAGCATGAAAGTGACAAAAGTGACAGACACTGTGATCGCATCACTTAGTTGTCACACCAACTGCACTGAAGGGGCTTCGCCTTTGCGTATCAGGGTTCTGGGTACTATTCAGCTTCAGGAAAGCTGTCCTAGTCATGTTGGCACCACTTCCCCCTAAAATCAACAAAGATGTTGTATGCAGTGTTAAACACCTTGCAGATACCTTTCAAAAGGGATAGACATCCCAGAAGCAGGTAAAAATCAGGAGAGACTCACTTCTGTGCACTAATAAAGGTAAGAATTATACTATTTGCCTGGAAAGACTATTTACTTCTGCTTCTATAAACCCCTGAAATTTCACACAGAAGCTCCTGATTTGTCACCTTTCTCAGTCCTGTTGTGCTCCACAAAACATCCCCTCCAGCACCCACATGCCCTCCTGCTGGTTGCCTCTGGGCTCAGAGAAGGACACATCCCTCTCTCTAGGGAGGAAGAATACAGGGAAAGCTAGAGCCATCCCATGCCTCTGCTCTAAAGCACAGCCTGTAAGCAGAAGAGCCTGCATCTGGATCACTCAGCAGGAAATAACCAAGACATCTGCAGCCATTGTCAGAAGCACTAGAAGGACATGCTTCAAAAAACAGAATATCCTCCACTCCCCACTTTAAAGTGGAAAAGTTAAAACACACATTTCATTTTCTGTATTATTACTGCTACCTGAAGATTATTGCTGTCTGAAGTCAGCTTCATCCTTACCTATCAGCTCAAAATCAGCACCAGCTGCTCCCAGTGATCACAAGGGAGACCCTATACTATTGCTTGGTACATCCAAGGGAAAAGCGTTTTCTACGAACTTCTGAAGCACCACATATTTTGGACATAAAATAATTATAGAACAGATAAGAAAGACTTTATGGGAGAAGAATTTTCTCTGTCTATGCTGAAGTTCCTGAAAAAAATAAACTTTACTTGACAACATCAGTATGAAACAACATAAAAAATACCCTGCGTAATAAGTTGATCAGGAGAGCTATGCCAGCACAGGGGAAGCAAAGAATCACTTGTCACACTTTACTGGGAAGTCTATAATGCCTTATGCCCAGGAGGTGGAAATACAAACACAAGCCACTGGAGACTCAGTGCAGTAAGGTGATGGGAATAGAAAGGCGAGACCTGGAAGCATGTGCGAACTATCTCCTCTCCTGCAGTTTCTCAAAGAGCACATAGGGTTTGGGAAGTGTCCCAAATAAGGCAATGGAGACAGCACTCTCCTATCTCTCAGGAGATTGAGGAAACTCCTGCAACAGTTGGAAACAGCAGACGAGTATAGGGGAAGGAGATTAAAAAAAAATAAAAATCACAGTAGCTTCCACAACCTGAGAAGAAACAGAAGAGCTAGAGAGAAGTCAACAGTTATTTAAACACAGGAAGTGGTGCAGATCAAGGACAGATAAAGAAGAAAATGAAACTGGAGAAGTCGAAGTAAGAAAGCTAGCAAGACAAACAGAAAGGAAAGTACCTCTTGGGAAAATGCAAACAAAAACCCCAGAAGTGAAGCACCATGCTTTGAGCCTAGAAGACTCCATGGTTCTGAAACTGCTGCTTGGCTCAGCCTCTGCTTGAATGAATTAATGGCAAAGTTCCCTTCTTCCCCAAAGGCGAATGATCAATTCCATTAATCCTTCAGAATGATGTCTGGATGAGTACCTCTTACTGATTCACAAGTCTGACCTTAATTAGCCCTATAGTGAGAAAAGTGATCGGGTGAAGGGAGACCGGACAAAGAGGAATGCTTATAGCAAAGGTCTCGAATTAAACACTGTACCAAAACACAGAAACATGTTTCTAATTTAAGAGGAAAGCCCCTGGGACATTCTACCTTAGCTAAGGTAACAGTATCTAAGTCAAATAAGCGATGTGTTCACCAAGAATATCTTCCATGGGGCCATGCACAAGTTGAAACTAGACAAAGCACATCTCAGACTATCTGCAGCTACTTTATTTTACACTTCCTTATGCTCCTTTCTCGGCTCAGCCCAGGCTTGACCATTATTTTCATAGCTGATAAAAACCTATCTGTTTAGATTCTTAGAATACGATGGAAGATCACACACTGAACTCAGGCCTAGAGACTAAAGATATTCTTATGTCAAATGCAGAGTTTAATCAACAAGGCCACTGAAATCTGATTCTGCACATACAATGCCATAAAAGTAAATGAGCCCTAAACATAACACATAACTCAGCTGAAACCTCTCAGGAATCACTGTTTGCCCATAGACTGTACCATTTAGCCTAACGGAGGATTAAGTTATAATCTTCACAGCCCCATTCGGTAGGAGGCAATTAAAAGCATGCACAACTTCAAAATACTGCAAGACACCCTTTAGGCTGCACTGTTATACAGACTGCATTCACGGATAACGCTCATGGAAATAACTCTGCCCATTCGTAGCTTTATTTCCATGAATGACTTCAGTAGCAAAGTCCACAGAGCTGTTCTGCAGTGGGGAAAGGATGTGGCTACCTGTACCAGTACCAGGGCTTAAGTCAGTGTGTGACTGGCCACAGACAGTATGCTGTATATAAATGACACAGAACAACTGCTCCCATCCCCTCAACATTTGGTTAATTATCTACTTGAATGATGTAATTGCTGAGCTTCTTGATACTCTAATAAAAGCGATTTTGGACAAGTGCTTAAAGCGCACGTTTTGGTAAAGACAGAGACCCTGAAAATGACCAACAGGTTCTCAGGAAACGCAGCAGAGAAGGATAACGGCTCTCTGAAAGGAGGGCCTCCCTCCCGAGCAGGGTGCTCCCCAGCATCCCACCGACACAACACCCCAGCAGAGCCCACAGCGAGTCACGGCCCGACACCAGCTCTCCGTTACCTCTCCCACAACAGGAACCACCGCCCGCTCTCGCCCCGGGTACCAGCCCTCTCCCCCAGGAACCCCCTTTGAGCCAGAAACGCGCGGCCGTGGCGCCTCCGGCACCCAGTGGCGGGACGAGGAATCCCCGCAGCGACGGAGCAGCGGGCCGCGCACCTGGTGAAGGCGAAGGCCATGAGACTAAGGATAGTGAAGCTGAGGAGGGTGATGGTGTGCGGGCGGTAGAAGAACTCTAGCGTGATGTCCTCCACCTGCTGCTCGTTGATCATGCGGAAGTGCAGCCGGTAGTTCACGTCGTCCTTGCTCAGGGTCCGGCTCCCCACACACGACGCCATCTCGCCCCTTTTCCCTCGCCTCAGAGCAGCGCTGGCTCTCCCGTGGCGGCGCGGCGCGGCACGACCCAAACCAGCCCGGCCGCCCGCACCGCCTCCCGCTGAGGCAGCGACGCCGCCGAAACGACAAGCGCCGCGCCCGCAGCGCTGAGGGGCGGAGCTCGCACTGCCTCTTCGGCGGCGCTCTGCGCCCACGCGGCGAAAGAGGGAAGGCGAAAAGGAACAGAGGCGGGGGAGAGAGGCGGAGCCACACCGGCCTTTGAACAAGCGGTGGGAAGGACCCTTTTCTGCGCGGCCCCACACCCCCCCGCCCTGCTCTCGAGTGGTTTCACCCGAGTTGAGGGTGGGGCCGGACGCGACACACGTGGGCTAGGCCGCGCGGGAGCGGTATGAGGGGCAGGTGAGGTGGTACTGGGTTCTTGCGAGTGTCTGGCGCGGCTGGCGCTGTGTTCACTAGTCCGCCCCTTCTCGCTTTACTCCGCCGGGCTCAGTGCGTGCGGAGCGGCACGGTCTCATTCCGGCTGTGAGCAAATGCTACCGGCCTGCAAGGGGCGGCGAGCGCGGCCTGGCGTCCACCCGCCTTTCCCTCGCCTTGTGGCGGGGTGTGAGACCTTCTGCACGGAGGGCTCTGTCTTTTGCGGGCATTTAGGTCCTGGCTGCGTTTCCCGTGTGTTCCCAAGGGAACTGCTGTCATCTACAGCAGTTGGGGGTGGCGTTTAGAGCCGCTTCTTCTCAGTTAACGTCTTCTCTGTTTGCCCCGCGCTCAAAGCCTGGAAGCGGTACTTAAGGCTTTGTAGCGAGTAATTTCTGGTTTTAATGCGCAGGGAATTAACGCATACGCTCCCAGTCCTGCGGGCGAGGTGAGACAGCGCCTGGGTTACTCTGCAGTTTCTCTCCCAGGAGGATGCTGTGCTGAGGTGCAAGATGGCTTTGGGGGTTCGGCAGGTCTCCCGCTGGTGTTGTCTGCTCAAAACGGCCCGTGCTGCTGAGCTTCCTCGGAGGCTGAGGAGCTGCAGCATTACTGCTCAGGCAAGTCGTGCGTTTGCGCCTCTGGCTCTGCGGCCCTCTAGAAATAATACTCTTCTGTGGAGATTGCAGGCGTACAGGCATGTATCTGTAGGAAGCTGTTCTCCGCCTGATAGTGCCAAGGATGGATCCTTTTCTTCTCTTGAACGTAACTTGCCTTCACCAGTAGAACAGGAACAAGCAAAAGCAAAACCATTACCTGATCTGAATGCAGAAATACTGTATGAAGGTAAGAAGCCTCAGGGATAGCATTTCTCCTGAATTTCTGTGTCATGCTTTCACTCTGAGCTCTTGTTCTTTTTTTTTTTTTTCTGCCTGTTTATCTAAAATATTTATCTGAAGTTCATGACATTCACTTGATGTTAGTCCCATAGGTAATGCAGAATTCTGTGGTCACTCTAGCATACAAAGAATACCTTTAAACCAAGATAAAGGTGTAAATATTTAGGTAAAGAATGTCAGTCTGGATTTGCTGCTTGAAGGGCTTTTCATAACTCGCAGCAGCTGAGCATTTGCCTTTCTTTCATGGATGTGCTGGTACAAAAGAAAGGGGTTTGTTTGGCTTTGGTGTGTTTTTTGAGCAAGGGTAGGGGAGGCCATCCCTGAAGCAGCTCGCACAACACAACCGTTTGGATCATCAGGGATGAGCAACAGGAGGCAGCAGTGTGAAGCCTTCTTAAGCACTGCCCTGATGAGAGGCGCTCGTCCAACTGTCTCCTGAGGAAAGGAGTTACATACAAGGTTGCCTTGGTGGTGTTGCCCCGACAAAATTGCCTCACTTTTCTCTATTTTTATATCTAGGTGAGAAGACAAAAAATACCATCCTCTGAAAATAATTCTAGTATGCTGAGGAAGCTATTCTGGATTACTAAGTAGTCTTGTATGTTCAGATTCTGCTTTGAGCCCTGCCAACTTGGATCCTATAGAGCTTATTTTTGAGGTGGCTTAGAGCTGCAACTGAGATCTGTGTGTTTGTGCAGCTGGCTCTGGAAACAGTGCTGCACCAGAACTGACATGTCAGCCAGCTAATATGCGTCTGCACCTGTGGTGCAGTTTATCTACATGCCAGATTTTTATCTGCCAACAGGCTTGCTGTTGTGTGTGTGTGTGAGGAGCATTTTGCCCAGTTGGCAGTGTATATAATGGAATAAACATAACTGCTAATTTTTATGTTCTTGTTGGTAACTTGAGGTATGTTTTCTTACAGGAGGTCTAAAGAAATTAAAGCGGCAAAAAAAGGGGATCTGTACTTCCAGAGTAGATCTCAGTTCAGTCCTCAATAAGTTCAAAGAAAATATTTGATATCCATATAGACTCCTAGCAAGTTTTCATTACCGTCTGAGGTGGAAACCTTGCTAAAAATATTTTACTGTGCTTTTATTCCTGAGGCTTTGAGAAAGATAAGTGGCAAGACCTTCAATAGCTATTGAGCTAGTCTATGCAACTCTTTCTGGAACGTTAGGATCATCTTACTTTAAAATCCGGCTTGGTAGTTCTGGTGTGGCTTTGTTTTCTTGACATGGAAGAGTGTTACCCTAGTTTCTACAAAGTCATTGTACAAAGGCACCTCATCCTGAGGAGTTTATAATTAGGGCTGTTGGTCAGTAATCGGTTTGGTAATTGAGGTAGACACTAGCAGCCAGCCTGCAAACAGTAATCTTGATCCAACTGCTGTGAGCTCCTGTCAATGGAAAAATACATCAGTTTAGAGAATTAATTTTTTTTTTTAAGAGCTCTGTGAAGCATAATGATGTTCACTTGGAAAATCTTGATGAGTAGGAAACAGAGCTTTATTTCTTTAGCTATTAGAGGTGGTGAAGTCAGCAACTATTCTGTAATGGATAAGACATGATAGCTTGGTTGGAGTTGGCTGTGAAATACCTTGAAAGTTAAAACAACTGTGGTTCAGGCATCAGATTTGGAAGAGGGACAAAAGTAATGGGCTTGTCAGATTATGAGAAATAATCTTTGCAGTAGCATTTGATCTGGATATGAAATGGCAAGAAGGCATTTATGAAGCCATGAAAGGATTCTTTTTCAAGAAGGTGATGTGATTTGTCATCTGCAATGATCAAGGCTGCAGACTGAAGGCAGGCTTGCTGGGTGCCACACTTAGATTTGACCACATGAGCAAGAGTTGATGGGCACTGACAAGGACATGGCACAGAGACAAAAACTGTCTTGAGTTTTAGGAAGTAGAGTATGTTTTCTTATGTTGATAAATAATAATAGGTTGGCTGTTCATCTCATGCACAGTGTTCCTGCATTTTGAAATAGATTAAGAGATCGGTATAGCATCCAGTAGGAGCAGCACTGTCTTTCACAAAATGCATTTGAGTCTTCTATATTTGTTTCTTAGACTGGGATGATGTCCCACCTTCGTCTGCTTTGGAGGAGATTTCTGAGGAAGAAGCTGTGCAGATCATTGCAGAACCACTTCTTCCTCTTCAGTCTTCCACGCTCCGAGATTATGTTGATCACTCAGAAACCTTGGCAAAACTTGTCCACCTAGGTATGTGTGATTTTGTTTGTGTGGTTTGCCTATGTCTGGAGCTTTGGAGATTCTGTAATTTGTGTTCTGATCTTACTGGTTGCCTTGTAAACTTGAAAACAGGAGCAGTGGCCAATGGCTAAAAGCAGCAGTTTCCTGGGTAAATGAAAGAAAAGAGAGGGGACTGCATGACTCCCTAGCAATGCCGTATTACTTGAAGACGCATCCTGCTATTTCTTGCTCTTCCACAGCTTCCAGAGGTGGGGAGCACTTTGTGTAATTTGTTTGGTCCTTCTTTTGGATTCATTAAGGATGTTTTAATTTGCTGCAAAAGAAATTGTAGTTTTCCATCCATGGAAGGAAGGAAGAGTAATTTCTGTGCAGAACCTTACCAGTGGGGCGCAGTAAACTGGGGAGGCAAGAAGGAAGGAAAATAACCTTACTTCTCATTAAAACCTCTTAGAGTGTGAAAGGATAGATGAGCTCAAGGTTGCTGGCCACCTCCTTGTTCCCCAAAAGTTTAAGGAGAACTAGAAAGAGGTTGGAGAAATAGATATTTGAGGGGGAGATCTGTGCCCATGTAGTAACAAATTTCTACACGTGGGTATCCAAAGGCATTTCACTGCAAAGTTGACCTCTTTCCTTGTATAAAGGAGTTAGGAATTCATTGTACATATGCTTCTGTGCAACAGGAGTAGGTACCTATATGTGGCATGAGCTAGTGTACTTGATTCCTGACATGCAGGATTCACTGCAAATGCCTTCTTTCAAAAAAATAAACTCAGCAAAAGTTTCTAAAGTGACTGCATGTTTTATCTGGAATCTTTCCATGGTATACAAGGTGTTGTGACCTTGCTGTATTAAGCAATTTCAGATGTTATATCAGTGCATAAAAGGAGTGGTCCTATGAATTCCAGTGTGCCTTCATGAAACATTTATAGGAAGTAGGGTCTGTATACAATTAAAACAATTTCTGATTTTGTTTGTTGTAGGAGTTGACTTATCACAAGTGGAGAAACGTGAAAAAGCAGGTCAGCTCTTACTGACCTTGGACTTTGAAAAGGATATAAAAAAAATACTTCTGTTTCTTAAGGATGTCGGTGTAGAAGACAATCAGATGGGAACATTCCTGACCAAAAATCCATACATCCTTGCTGAAGATCTGGAAGCTTTGGAAACCAGGTAAGCCTTTCAAACAGCAGCAAGGTGCTAAGCGCTTTGGCTAAGCTAAGGCCTAAAGATCTCGTTTCCCAGTTGGCTTAACCTTGCCTGAACTTGCTGCTCTTTCTTTTCTCCCTTGATCCCCAGCTCTGTGTTCTGTGCCTTCTCATCAGTCAGCATTAACATGAGATGATATTGTAAGTCAAGTCAACACCCTGATCCACCTGAAAATGGACCATTAACAAATTTTACTGCTCATCCCTGTTTCTCTGGCACAGAGGAAGCACCTTGCCATCCTGAGCCATTTGCTTTACCTGTGTCAGCTTAGATTCCAGAACAGTCCCTGACACTTTATCTGAAGTTGTGGAACGGTATTAACTTCTTCAAGCCATGCTTTGAGAATGCTATTCTAGATAACATGTCTACCCATACCTTCCAAGTTCTGTTATAAAAGCAGCAGACCAGATCTCTTCTATGTTTACATCTACAGCAGAATGTTTTGGTAACTTTTTTTTCATCATTTAGCTCACACTGAGCACAAGGCTACAATGAACTAATCTCTGTGTGTTCACACTTGTATGGACCTACACTGTTTCTCAGGCCATAAAATGGACTTTTATTCTTAAAATTACTCCAGACTGGCTTGCAATAATACACACTTTGTAATGAACTCAAAACCTCTTGGTATTTAAAACTTCCAGAAAAGAATGTCTTTCTGCTTGGCTTTGCACTTAGTAGCTGTCCAAGATGGAAATCTGAAAATACAGCTTTTTTAGATACAAGCACGTTAGCAGACTCCTGTCTAACAGATCCAACTTTTCTTTCATTCTTCTCTGTTTTTCCATCCTCCTTTCAGAAAAATATCCCAAAAGAGTCTGTGTCATTTTCCCAGCAATAGCTTTGAGTCTAAATTTCAGAGTTGCTGATACTCTTCTGAAGAGAGTACTTTTGGCATGAGAAATGTTCTAACTCTCCTGTGAAGTCAGACATCAGCTGCTTTTCAATGACTGTCCTGTGGCATTGCCTAGTTAGTGAAGTAGAGGCTGAACAGGACAATTCCAATTTCTTCTTCGTTTTCTGCAGCCTGTTTTTTCAGTAAGTTTATCTCTGTCACTGGTGAATGCTTTCCTACAAAGTAAGTGCTGTGGAGAGTGCGTGGCAGGCTGTGGATTGAATGCGACTCAGCTGTCTTTTGAAAGCTGAGTATCACCTTTGCATAAACACTTTGGTGCAGATGGACATGGTATTAGTTACATCACTCTGGAATGTTTTATTGCTATGGATTCCATGTTACCAGGAAACAAAACACAAATTTCAATAGATTTGGCATTTGACTTCAGATAAACACTGTAAAAGTCAAAACATTTCATAATTCATAACAGTTCTGACAGTTGCAAATCAGTGTCTGTACTGCAGCTGCACCAGATTCTTTGTTTTATGTTGTTGTTAATGATGACTTGAAACTGTTAACATGCTGCATAGAACTGCTGACCCCTGTAGTAGAAAGAGGTGCCAACACTCACAAATTTATCTCAAACTTTGGTCAGGTTGCATAACTGCTTTTTTACTATACTAGTTTATAGAGTTAGGTTATTATAGTCTTGCCATCCCTCTTTGAAGCTTCTTGCTTCTCCAGGATGCAAAGAAATGCTTCAGGTGTGAATCTTCATGACTTGTTAACAAGTGAAGGGAGTCAGGACAACCAAGAGGTTTTATTTTTAATTTGTTCACTTAGCTGTATTTCTAAGATGCTTGGCAGTTGTGCCCTCAAAAAAAAAACAAGTGGAAGAAATATAGTGCAGCCAAGCTGAAGCATTCAAAACATAATGGGATAATTTTTGAAGGGCCAGTTATTTATTGTTGTGTTCTGCATTTCTCCCCCTTCTTAAACTCACTTTATCTCTGTGGCTCCTGCAGCCAGTTCATCAGCACTGTCTGGAGCCTACGCTGCTACCTTCTGTGTTGGGGTGCCTGCTCAGTTAGGAATTGGTCTGCTAGAGCTTGTTCTTAGATCTTACATCTAGAGGTTTTTGGCTTGCAATTACTTCATTTTTGAGGGTTTGTGAAAAGAGAGGAAGGTTGTCGTGACTGGAAGGTATTTTTATTTTCTTTCTCTCCACAAGACATGATTTAACATGCAGCCCATTTTTTGCCAAATATCTGCTTCTGCAGAATATTCTGAAATCTATTTAGTATTTTAATTACTGCCAGATAAAATTGGTCCTTGTATGCTGTAAGTTCATCTGGCAGTAAATACTCCTATATATGCTCATCTATAACCAAAGGAGACTTTTTCAAAGTATAGTTTGATTGGCTTTTGTTTTTTGTAGAAGGTGATACGTGGGTCAGTAAGTCTCTTTATTGTGTGTGCTGTACTTCTGACCCCCCTTCTTTTTTCTGGGAGCTAAGGTAATAATCTGTTGCAAGTAGTACTTGAAATAGGATTTCACTTTCAGTGAATTCAACAAAGTTTGGAAGTTTATTATAAAACCTTTAGTCAGCTCCCTTTCCTTTCTGATAACCAGATGTTTTGTAACTAAATCCTTGGACCAGTGACTGAAAGTAGGAACCTATTGTAACAAAAGTAACTTCAGCCGATTTAGAAATGTCTTTTTGGACAATGTCTCTACAGATAGCATTGTTGTATGATATTTCTGCTCTAGTGCTATTGGCAAAACAGGGATGTGTATGAGTACAGTACTCTGTTCTTTCAAAAGTAGAAATGGAATTCATTAAAATAGTAAAAGGTTGTATATATCTTCTTGTCCATACCCTATGAGGATCCATTAATGTGCTTCCAATCCAGAAGACAGGCTGGTAGTTAAACATAGGTTAACATAGTTATCTGCTTAAGTACAGCTGGAAGGAATTAAAATCTGTCTTCAGGATTGACATTCTGGTGCTCCGAGGTTTATTTTACTTCTAATTAATTGAAAGGGATGGTATTTTGCTTTTACGATAACTGCAGATTTCTCCCTAATTATTTTTGGCAGGGTTGCATGTTAATGCTAGAACATCTGTCCATTTATAAGATATCACTGAGGAATTTAAGCAAGTACTGAATAAATGGAGGCAATAAAATTTTCATCACTGGATTTTATTTTGTTTTTGTTCTCTTTCTAGAGTGGCTTACCTAAAATCAAAAAAATTTGGTAAGGCAGAAATTGCTCAGATGGTCTCAAAAGCTCCGTATTTGCTGTTGTTTTCAGTGGAAAGACTGGATAACAGACTGGGTTTCTTCAAAAATGAACTTGGTTTCAGTGTAAAAAAGGTAAAGACTGTACACTGAAGTATTCAGGTATTTTGTTAGTGACAACTGTAAGGCCTTAGAACATGAATACTTCAAGTGTTTGGAGGTTATCCACAAACTTTGATAACTCAGATGGTTATGGGAGGATAACATGATTTTAACTGTCTGCAGAAGCAATATGGATATTTGACAGTCAAAGGTTCCTGAAGATGATCTGCTACAGTTATTGTCAAACAAGTATGTGTGTGTCCAGTTTTATTATCTGAGGCAGGTCAGAGTACCAAATTGTTACTGAAACAGGAAGCAACATTTTTAACTTCTAGAAAATTAATTGGCTCTCTTATCTCTTTAAGATACTGTAATATATTAACTCACTGGTGGAAAAAATAGTCTAATCTCTGAATGTCACATTAAACTAAATGCCAAATCACATGCTCATCTCACCAAGCATAGTCCCTGGGTTCACTTGTGATGCTTACTACGTTGCATGCTTAGCAGGTGTTTAGCACCATGCTTTGGGATCTTCAGAGGGGGTAGTACCTGGATTTCTGGGAATAAGTGGGCACTGTTAGTTGTTTCCTTCACTAGCTGGGGATTGCAATGAATGTCAAGTTCCAAGTGGAATCTGGTGTGCTTCTATTAGCTCAACAGTCACATAGCTGTCAGTGCCTCTTGCTAGCCTTTACATGCTTGAGGTAAGAGACCTCTGGAAAAGGGTACAGTAACTGCCTTGTACTCAGGGTGGATTACAAATAATTGCACATTTTAGGGCTTGTGAAGTAATTCCTTGTGTTGCCATAATACTGAGGTTAAACCAGATCCTGAGATAGACAAATTCCACTGCAGCTGAAAAAATCCTTTTATAGCCTCTATCAGGTAGTGTGTTGTTTACTTCCTGACTGTTTTACAACAGTTACGTTAGTTTTTGTTTTCCAAAAAAACCATATTTTTGCATCTTAATATACTGCTGCTTAATGCAAACTCATCTTTGGGGTAGAAATAAAACGAAATGTGAGTGAAAGTGAATCCTCTTCTGGCTGGGGGGAGCAGGAGGGAGGTTTGTATGAGATCTCTATCTTTCGTTCAGATTCACAAGCAAGCTTTCAGTAATAATATATCTTCCGTTTTCCCTGACTGTAGACAAAGGATTTGGTAATCCGTTTTCCAAGGCTTCTGACTGGCAAACTAGAGCCTGTAAAAGAAAATCTTCAGGTGAGCTTATTAATAGATACTAGAAGTGTATTGTGTATCCACATAATTTAAAGAGTTGTCAGAAGATAACATTCCTGTAGAATCCTGCACAGAAATTAAATGAAATCATTTTAGTGGGGATATAAAATAACTGAGGGTTTTGTTAAACAATATGTTTTCCTTTATAGCTTGCAAGCTTACAGCATACATGGAGCAGAATGTTATTCTGTTCTCTACTCCGATGTAGGTTAGAGTCCCTTCCCACCAAAATTGCTATCTGATGACATAAATCGTTACCTATTTCTTTACAATAAGTGGGAAAAATAGGGCCTGCTTCCTCTTTTTTTTTTCCCCTTCTCTCCCCTTAATTATTATAGTTTTTTGCTAACTTGGATTGTCCATGAAGATTTAGAAGTAAGAAATGTGCAATTGATTATTTTCCTCTTGGCAGGTAGCTAGTCTGCCAAAATGTGCATTTGACACTTATTGTCTGATAGCAGATGGTTGTTATTAACAACTGTTGGGTAAATAACTCCAAACCATAGGGACTGCTTTCCCTTTTGAAATGTAGCTATGTATTGGTTTGATTATTGTGCTGTAAAGCTATCTAGGCCAAGCAGCACGATGTAGTGTAACAATTTCAGAAATCCTATTATCCTGTAAGGCATAACTATGGATTAAAATGTATAATTTTTGGACAGACTCACTGCTCTGAAACTATTAAGCACTGGAAATCTTGCAATCTGAAATGTGTGTGTGTGGTAAGGGAGGAGACTGGAAAGTAGCAGACTGTTCCAATTAAAAGTGCTTTCTTTTTAATGAATATTGTTTCCACAGGCTAGGGATTCAGTATATTATAATGAATATGTTTTTAAGATCCTCAGTTCTATGCAACTATCTTGTCTACCAAAAAGTGTATAGTGTAGCATCCTTTAACGTATTCTAGAAAGGGAAGAAAAATTTTTAGACCCCCACTATTCAAATCTACTGATACTTAGCAGCTCCAGCCTTTCTTGACGTTGGATGTCTCAGATTCAGAATCTGTGTCCAGACCTATATGTCCTAAGTTGGTGATGGGCAGGCAGTACTCAAAGTGAAACCACACACAAGCAGTTCGTAAGTGATCTGGTGGTATCCCTTGTTCCAAGTCTGCTGTTACTTAGAACAACTGCTGCAGCTGACATGGTTGTCAGAAGATACCAACCATGGACTAAATGAGCTGGAGGATGGCTTATCGCAGCCTCTGAAGGTTTCATCAAGCACAATTAGATTCACTGGTGTGTAAAACTGGAAAGTTTGCATTACCACTGCCTGTTGTGGGAATCATACAGAGTATGTTGAATATTGCTGGGGCTCACACAGTAAAAGTATTAGCATATGTGATCTAGAATATTAGTGAATTTAAAGGTTTGCGGTCAAACTGAATGCAGTCAAAGCAACTTACACTTGAGTTCACTGCTCATGTCAAGAGAGCTGTTCCATTTCACAGACTTGAAAAGAAAAATCTAAGATTCTTGCCACAATTACCTCTACAGAGGGGCCAGCTATTTAACATCAGGTCTTACTCTTGTATGTTAATGCACAGCTCAGATCTGTGGAAGATGTCGCTAAAGTGCAAACGCATCTTTTCATCCTTGAATTCTGTCTTAGCTGAGTAATATTTCATGTGATACGCAAGTATTTATAAAGCAGATAAGGAAGAATGAGGAGTTGAAAGACCTGGTTATTTGCCTCTAGAAGCAATTTCCTGTAAGGATCTGGAAGTCCTAAGGTAGCTTCAAAACCCAGATCCTAAACCCATCCCTTTGTATTTGCCAGGCAGTTTTGGCACATCAAACTGGAAAAACAAAAAGCACCACCTTTTTGCCAACTGAAGAAGTACCTAAGTTGGATTTAAAAGTCTGGTTATGTTGACTGGCAAGCACACCCACTTTGTGACTGAAAACAAGCTGCTTGTAAATGTCACTGGAGGATAGAAGAAATGGCTCAGTTACCAGACACTGTTGTATACTGAATTCCTTTCTCAACAACTCAATGAACTACTTGCCATTCTGCACTTTGGGAGGAGTGCTTATTATTTTACTGAAAAAATGTGGGTTTTTTTTTTTCCTTTTGGGAAACCGTAATTGAAGTCAAGGAAGTCTCTGAAAAAGAAATCTTACTTTAGACATTCACCAACTGTAAATTAAATTGAATACACTGTACATTCTGCACATCTCTTTCAGGTTCAGCAGACTTCAGCTGAAGATGACAGGACTGAAATTATGCTCCCTAATATAAAAATCTAATTTGGATGCATTAGTGAAATAACTAACAGATTAACAAAAATAGTCACTAGCTATTTGATTGCTGTGTTTTACAAAGCTCAACAGCTCTACAACTAAGAAGTCAGTCTCTCTTGACAGCTTGGTATTGAATCTGATACAAAATGCTTAGGGGAAAATTCTTATGCTTGTAACGGCTGTGCATACTGAGACACAGCTATTTTTGTTCATCTCTCAGACAAGGTGAAAAATACATAACATTCACAGAAGTAGTCTTTACTCCAGGGATACTTCATAAACAAATTACACTTTAATCAGAACAATAAATAATTTGCACTGACTTGAGAAGAACGAGTGGCAGATATTGTGGGTTGCGTCTTGTTGCTGTGGGACAAAGGGTAGAAGAATTTTGCATCAGTTTATTTCAGTGGCACATTAAATTAAGCTAAATTTGCTGTAGCTGACTTTAGAAGATAAAATTTTGCTCTTTTTCAGGTTTGTCAGATTGAACTTGGTTTTCAACGGAATGAAATTCAAGAGATTGTGTTTAAAACCCCCAAGATTTTAACTGCAAGTAGAAACAAACTCAAACAGACATTTGACTACTTACACAACATAATGGGCATTCCCCACCACATGCTTACTCGCTTTCCTCAGGTGAGCTGTTTATCTGGGAATAAACTGTAGGTACTCTTTGCACAGCTGCTTCACTCATTAGTGCTGAAGGTGGAACCTCACTGTATGTAGGACACACATGAATTCCACTTGTCCGTGGCTTTTACTCTAATTGGGGTAAATTTTATTAGCAATTTGGCAACCATTGAGAATTCCAGTGTGGATGCGCCCTTCTGCTTCCCCTGGCACAAGTGACCCCACCCCCACCACCCTCAGTCTTGTGAATTTTTAAGTTTTCAGCAGAAAACTTCAGTCATGCTCATCTTTTCTGGATTCATTCAAGATCAGTACATACTGCCTGCTTAAGGATTCCTTGTCCTCAAATCCCACCTAAGAGTCACAAGGGAAGATAGATCACACATAACATGCATATATAACATTTATTTTAGATTTGTCTACTTAAAGAAAAATAAAATCTACACATCCTAGGTTCTGAAAATATAGTTTAAGGTAAGAGAAGTCCTGTCTGTTAGGCAACCAGAATCTTGCTGACCTTCCTAGTGCTGTGTCAGTAGCTAAAAAAAATCACAGGAGTGAAAATTGTTTCTTGATGACTGTTTCGGTTTTATCTATCTCCTCTTTCTGTTATTTCCTCAGAAATTGAAAGTTGAAAGCATTAGTCATTTCATCCAGTGCTGACATGCAGTCACACTGGCTTCTTGCTAGGAAAAAAAAGGCACAAATTACATCTTCAGGACTGCAGTAATTTTCTTTCTAAAGCAAGACTCATAGGGAATCTGTCTAATCTAGCTGGCTAAAAAGCTGAAATTAGATGGTGAAATCAGACTACTCCCCAGGATTTTCAGTACTTGCTATTTAATGTATCTTTGCTTAACAAGGATCCTTGTTATAAAACGGAGTGTCACTTTTGCCCTCCTTGACGTGTAAATGACCCCAAGTCTTGCTTCCTTCTCAGTTGTCTTATTGTTGGCTTTGTGGTGGTGCACCTCATTTTTTTCCTACTATTTGGAAGAGCAAGGGGAGAGTATCTTCTATTGCTTGTTCTTGATGCAGTCACCCTTTCTCTTCCCTGTTCTTCCCTTCCATCCTCAAAAACTGAGTTTCAGGATATGGCTAATGCAAATCTGTATATGGTCTGGCCATTAATTTGTGCATTCACAAATTCACATACTTGTTTCCATCTGTTACTGCTTCTATCCTGAGTAGCAGTAATGCCTAAAATAGAGGCATACAGGATTTTTTGTCACATGCTCTCTGATGTTTCAGCAGCAGTTGTAACCATCCTTCCTGTCAGCCAGCTCAATGATAATGAAGGATTTTTCCTTTTTTTTTTGTGACTCCCTCTTAGAATTCAATGAAGGCAGAGGACAGTTTTGCTTTCTGTCCTAGTTCAAATTAGTTTGCATCCTCATGCATCCTTCCTTCAGTAGTGTCTCCTTTTTAGTAAAAACTCCACTTGATTTCATTGCTTTAGTGTTCATATTTTCACCATAACCTTCTCTAAAGCAGCATCTCTCTTCAGTTGTACTTCTCAGAAATGCAGTTAGATCTCTGCTTTTAAGACTCCTTAACTGTGCATCCTTGTCTTCCCTACTTCTAGATGTCCCACTGATTTATTTCATGTTTCCCTTACCATTGCTTTTGCCTTTTGACTGTCTAGAATTCTTTTTGTGACAAGTATCTTCAAAGGTAGGCACTGCTATGCCTTTTGGCAGCATTACGACAGGTGACACAGACACTCCTTTTCCGTTGCCACTGTGCAGGTTCACTCTTTTGTGGTCACCTGCTCATTTCTTCCTTATGATAATGCTTGTCTGAATCTGTCTGTATAAATAAATGCTTCTGATAGTATAGGGAAAATACTTGTGTATTCCTGCTCCCTGTTTCTGAATGTCTCCTCTCCATTTGCTTGGTTGTGATTACACAAAAATAATATAGCTAACCTATATAAACAAAAAACCTAACTGGCTTGAGAGTTGTATCACTCGCTGATTTCCCTTGTGATGTGTGTACGTCAGCATATTGTATGGAAGCATTTATTTAGAATTTAAATAATTTATATATGAATGTAACCTACCTCATGTTTGACATTACTGAGAAGAAAAGATGCAAATTATTTTGCTTCGTAGATCTTCAGTTTGTTAAAAACAATGGTCTTATTTTAGATTCTGAAATACCAGAGTCTGAAATTTAGACAACCTAAAAGATTCTTTCCTTTCTTTGTTTCTTAGGTTTTCAACTCAAGACTATTACGAATCAAAGAGAGACATATGTTTCTTACATTCTTGGGAAGAGCCCAGTATGACCCAGCACAACCCAGCTACATCTCTCTGGACCAGCTAGTATCCTTGCCTGATGAGGTGTTTTGTACAGAGATTGCCAAAGCTTCTATACAGGACTTTGAAAAATTCTTAAAAACACTTTAATTAGTAGCACATGTAAAAAGGAATAAAGTTGTGAAATAAACATGTTTTATGAAACTATTCCCTTCTTAATTACTGGCTTAAGGAGTTGTTACTTCTGAAACATTTGTAGGATTTAAAGGCTCACAGTAAGATTCTTCAGAATGTATTTCAGAAGGATTGAGTGAATATGTTGATTGCTACTGATGCAATCCTTGTAATTAATGTCTAACTTCAGAGTGAATGATGCAGCACACTAACAGAAAAGTAAATTAAAGCGGATTCTTTCTTTTCCTTTTTTTTTTTTTTTTCCCTTTCAGTACTTCCAGAGGTCTGGGCGATGGAAAAACTGGCTAGTGACTTACTCCCTGTCTCGCCCTTTGTCTTCTCCCCTTCACCCCCCTCCTCCCAAAAGTTACAGTAACAAACTAATGCAGTAGAGAAGTGACGTGTTTACCTGCTGTTATCGTAACAGCAAGCAATGTTACTCTTTTCGTTGTATGGCAGCAAGAAGTACACTGTTACGTTATGTGGAGCCCCTCATATAAAAAAGCATTTTCAACAGGTTACAAAGGTGCTTCTTTGTGAAGCTGGATGCTGAATATCCTAAAAGCTGTGCAGTGAAACTTCATTTGAAATAGCAAAGAAGATCAGCAAACTGGATCTAGGCAAATTACAGAAAGAAAAAGCTATAAATGTCCCTGAAATATAAGAGGAGCTTGTTTTAAATCACTTCTCTGTTCTTGTTTAGGGAGAGCAGTTTTTTTTCCCATCCTTATGAGATTTGTATGACTTTACTAAACAAGTGACCATATGAAAAGAAGCTGTATTATATACTTAGCAGCATTGTCTTGTTCAGTGTTAACAAGTGAAGTAAATGCTAGCATTAATAACCGCAGGCACATTTAAAGTATTTAATCCTACCAGGAAACAAGTCATGTTAATATGGAATTATTAGATGCTTCAGAGTTTGTTGTGGTAAAGTGAAGAAATGGAGTAAACCCAAACGCAAAATGTCTCATAGTTTCCTGTTCAGAAATTTCCATTGTTTCAGGTAAAACAGTTCAGAAAACTGAAATCCAGATGTTGTCATTTGGATTTAAGCTTATTTAATCAATAATCTTCAATGTTTTAAAAGCTCAGTGTTGGAGCTTAAAATACCAACTTGTATGCAGACAGCAGAATAAATTTCAAAAGGTTAAATTCCCCTAATAGGTGGAAAATAAAGATAAGAGATATTTAAAGAATGAGTACAGTAATGATATCTGGATTATTACTTGGGTCTTTTATCCAAAATAAAAAAATTGAAATTGGAATTACAATACCCAAGTAAAGAAGTGTTGTCAGAACAAGCAGAGTGCAAAATGATTTACTGGGCCATCACTTCAGCACAGTAAAAAGCTACGTTTATTTTCTGTAATAGTATCTGAGATGTTCTCTTTTGTCTTCTGTTGTTTCCCACCCCACTGGCCTGGGAAGATCACTCAAAATCCTGTTAAGTAGCTTGTTCTTGGTAAAGATGCATAACAAATTTCATCTAAAATGGTGGCTGAAATGTGATGGCTGAGCACTTTATATCTAATTCAATGTGATTATTTAGATTTTTACTGTATTAAAAGTATTAATTAAAAGTGGCTCCATAATGCCAAAGAATTTGCTTTTGCAAGTTTACTCTGCCATCCTTATCATGATCTGTATTTCCATGTGGCAAACTGTTAAAATACAAAATTACATAATGCATATATTTTGAATGTCTCCAACTTTGGGCTTTTAATTCCTTTAATATTTTGAAATGTAAAAATAATTGCTGCCAGAGCTAAAACAGGGTTTTTGAAATGTTAAATGCATGATCGTATGCCAAAATAACTTCCCAGAAATACTAGGAAGAAACAAAGCAAAAGATTTTATGGGAGTGCTAAAAGGAAAGGGGAAAGAGTATAGGAGAACTTTCTGAGGATCATGCCAAATCCTTTTTGGCTTTAAGATGAAAAAAGAAAGGTGGGGTTTAGAAGAAATGTTTGGCCCAGAATATACTTTGCTGTTCTTGATAAGGGCTAGCAGCTTTTGATTGCACATATTAATTGAGGCTTGATGGGTACAACACGCCAAAGGCTGCTTCAGCTCTGCTGACACATGGTCTGAGCTGTGCTGTTTGCCTGTGTATCACATTCAGCTGTGTGCTTTTGAGTGACATATCTACTGTAGCAATAGTGCTATTATAGTTCCATATAATGATTTCTTTAAAAGTGCAGCGGTCTGCTTATGAAAGGATTGCTGGGGAGAGGCAGTGATCGGTGCCTCAGGAAACAGCTGCTCACCTGCCTGAGAGGTTTCTGCATCTTTCTGTGATTGACTTTGTGCTTACTGTGCTCTCATTTTCAGCCGATACTCACCTTCACAACTGTTGGTCTAAAGAATCTTCACAGCACCCAGTTCTGCTGCCCTGATTGACAGCTGGGTTACCTTACGCCAAAGCAAGCGCTTGTTCGCACCACCTCTCCACGCACTACAGCAGTAGCCACGCAGGTGACTACCCGGGCACCGCTAGCAAAGGCAACGCTCGGCCTGGTGCTGTAACATGGTCTTTGCATCGGCACTGCGGTGCAAACACGCTGTGAGGAGACGGCACTGTCACTGGTTCTGAGCAAGCGTTGCCTAATCTTAATTACGGATCCACCAACACCGAAATCTCTATTTAAAACCACTGTAGGAATCATGCGCTTCACCGTCTCCACCAGGGCCTCCCCTCTGCTGCTCTTTGCCCCCGCGGGTGGTGCCTCAGATCAGCCCGGTGCCCTGCGGCAGCAGACACCCTAGCGAGACTCCCCAGGAGGTGGGGGGGGGGGGCCGCAAGGCGACGACTGATGGGGTACCCCGGTCCTTCGGGATGTTCCGCCTGCCCGTGTAAAAACGCGGCCGCAGATCGCCTGTAACTCTTCCCCTGCCGGTACCAGCCCGCCCGTTGTATCCGCCCTGCCGGGGCGCATGCGCCAGAGCCGGGGCGGCATTGGCGGGGCCGGTGCGCCCTCGGGAGCACTGCGGATTACCCAGAAGGCAGTAGGCCGCGCCGAGGTCAACATGGCGGCGAGGGCGTCGGGTGAGGCGGTGGAGGGATTCCGGGGGTGGTCGTGCGGGACCGTGCTTGCCGCGTTTGTGGTGTGGAGCTCACTCTGTCCCGTCCCGCGCTGGGAGGCGAGGCGGGCCGTGACAGGGAGGTGGTGAGCCCGATGGGCGGTGTGCGCTGAGTGCCCTTGACAGGGGCAGCGCCGCAGCTGATGTATCGCCGGCAGGGCTCTGTTGGTCGGGTTTCCTCACTGACCCTCCCGAGCGGCGGCCTCTCGGTCTGGGCCTCAGCGGAGGAACCTGTATCCGAAACCGAGTATTTTTGAGATCAGGGGGCAGAAGGTGTTCGGGGGCAGCGCTGTCCTACCCAGATACTGGCACCAGGCTTAGGTGGTGTAATGTTATTCCTTCTCAAGCCCTGAAAAACGAAGGAATAAGGCCTGATGCGGGGGTGTGCAAATGATGTACTGGTATCACACCTAGCACTGGTTTTATGGGGTGTCACAGTGAGATGATGTGAAGAGCAGCTTGCCCTGGCTTCATGGCCCATGTTATATGGGTTCAGAGTTTCTAGACCTCCTGTTGAGTTACTTGAATGGTATTTGGTACTACACTGTGCTTGATAGGAGGTAAAGGCACCTTTGCTACCCAAAATCATCGTTAAGGAAAGGTGAACATTCTGCATGTGGTGTGCTTTATTATTTCTAGTTTTAAAGCAATTTTTTGAGGTTTCAGGGTTGACTTTCCAGTTGACTTTGTCAGCCTTTTGAAAAAGGAAGCTCTGGAATAGTATTTAAGTAACTGGAGAGGAGAGGAGAAGGTTAACAACATAGTAGTACACTGCCTTTGAAACTGCATTAATTCGTAGTGAGAGATGTGGAACTTCAATAAATTGTTTGAAAAGCATGATGGTTTTGCTGTATGTAGAACATCATGTTTTTAGCTCAAGTAAAAGCTATGCAGTATGAAAGTGTTGGTGCTTTGACACTCAACTGTTAGCATTGATCCAAGTTTTAAAGCAGTCTAATATTCAAATTTAGTGAAACAGAGGTCATATTACTGTATGTAACAAGCGCTCATTCTACCTGTTCAGTGTCAGTTAAGGGATGCTGAAAAGCAGAGAGGCTAAGTCAAACTTGATGCAGTGTTGCATTAGTGCATGGGAAGGAGGCCAACAACTGTTTGTGTGCTGTCATAGTAGTGTTGAAATGTTGAATTTTACCTTGCTGTGCAACTGATGATGGTCCCATTCAGTCGCAGGAGGCAGTCGCCTCATGGACAAGTTTCGCAAGTGGTATTACAATGCAGCTGGGTTCAACAAACTAGGTAAGTGTTTCACTGAGCTTTAAAAACTCTGCAAGTGTGACAGTCTTCAAACAAGCTATGGTTCATAACTGTTGTATGTGCATGCAGCTTACATAAGTCTTTTTGGTCAAAATTAGCTGCTATTTCTGTGGGGAAAAAGTTAGCAATATCTTCAGTCACTGTGATTGTGCCTGGTAATGAATCATTGACTTTTCTATTATTTGTGTGTTTGCCCTTCTTTTCAGTGAAATAACTTGAAACGGCTAAGGTTAAACTGGAGCAGTTAAAAAAACTTTCACAGAGTGGTCCTGAGAGCTTTATTATTTATCTCTTCCCACCAGGTCACTTTCACTGGCCAGTATCTTCTAACCCAAAGTCTGCCCTTGAAGGTGGACAGGTTCCTGCTGATTGCAGTCATACTAAGTATATATATAAGTATATACTAAGTATATATATAAGTATCCAAAGTGCAAAAAAGGATTTACTTAGTTCTGCCCTTTGCATCACTGTAAATTCACTTGGTGTCTCTCTGGCCTGCACAGTCATGAAGTACATGTAAAAGTAGTGTTTCCTTAAGTAGAGGCGGTTACCTTGATGATACTGTCTTCAGTTTGTTCAGAGTTACGAAGTTTGTTTCAACTATTTATGTAGTAGAACTGTCCTTGGGTGACAAGGGGATTTGAGTAGTCAGTCAGAGGGCTTAATTTACTACT